AACGTAGTAAAAATCAAAGCAACACTGCTGAAAGCTGTTACAAATCTGTGAAGGTAAACGAAGGAACCCTCTCACAGTTCAAGGAGAAAATATCAAGACAGAGATTGTTGGTGAAGAGATATGACAGGTTTGGGAGTTCTGGTATTTGATCAATAGGAGACCTAGAAGCAGAGAGCCAGAGAGAGGAGTAGCAGCGAGCCAGAAGCAACAGAAGAATTCTTTCCAGAGGGAAGAATGGACTTAAGACTCAAGAATATTCCAACTGCCAGGCATCTCCTTGTGAGACTAACACATTCTAAGGAGAAAGAAAATCTTTTTCTAGATAAATAACAAACAAAAATCAAATCTACCATTAAGGACAACTAGAAAAAATGAAAAAAAAAATCTGAACTATCTGGTCCATGCGACCAGAGAACTGATAGGACCATAAAGAATCTGAGAGCAGAGGCCCACTTATTCCTTTGAGGGCTTACAGTGGTTCCCAAGAGGAAGGCCAAGAGGTCCAGAGGCTGTGCAGTGCTTTAGACAGTGTCTCAGTGCAGAAGTGACAGGGATTGCTTTCTAGGGTCTGTTAGGGGAAGGATACTTGACGAAACCCCTCTCACTTTGATCTAGAATCCAGAAGGCTAAATCTAAACCTCTAGAGTAAGGGGAACCAGAAGCAGGTGTTCATAGGGACTACAGGTTCATTAAGTTACTGCAAGTAAATGAAAACATTTCAGAGTGCTAGTCCTCCCTAGAACCAAGATTTGCAGAAGTAGTTACAAATCTTGTCTGGAGAAAGACAGCACCATCCTAGGCCTCAAATCACTTCTACAAGCAATTCTTGTAGTATTCAGCATAAAATCATGATTTCTCGGAAACAGGAAATAAGAAATATGAACAGAAACAATAAGCATAGAAATAGACCCAAAGGGGCCGTGTATATTAGAGTTAAGAGACAAACACTAAAATAACCGTTATTGACTATATGTCTTAGTTAATAGGGGCTGCTATAACAGAATATTGTAGACTGGGTGGCTTAAAAAATAGAAGTTTATTGCTCACAGTTCTGGAACCTGAGAAGTGCAAGATTGAGATGCTAGGATATCTGTTGTCTGATGAGGGCCAGCTTCCTGGTTTGCAGATGGACGTAGTCTTGCTGTGTTCTCACATGGCAGAGAGCAGAGCAGAGGGAGCAAGCTCTTTTGTCTCTTCTTTTAAAGGCACTAATCCCATTCATGAAGAGTCTACCCTCGTGACCTAATCACCTCTGAAAGGCCCCACCCCTAATACCATCACATTGGGATATAAGATTTCAACACATAAGTTGTGATGTTTGTGTCAGAGGACAGACCTACTTCAAGAAACTTTAGGGGGACACAAACTTTCAGTCATAACACTATGGTAAAGAAGAAAAAAGACGACATTGAACATTTTCAGAGAACTAGAAGCCATGAAAAGAACCACATACATATTTTAGAATTCAAAGAAAAATTTCAAGAAGAAAATTTACAAAATGAAGCCAGAGCCATAAAAATAATGGGAAAAAAGCTCAGAGGAGAGTAAAAACAGCATAGTGAGAGGTCTAACATTACATTTATTCTGTATCTTTAAGAAGGAACACAGAAAAGGGTCCGAAGCAATATTTATAGGTGAGCATTTCTCCCAAATGAATACAACAGTTTCACCAAATAAATACAAACAAACGTACCTCGGCACATCATAATGAAACTACTGAAAGCCGCAGTCAGTGGGAAAATTATAAAACCTGTCACAAAACACAATCTTAAAGTAGCAACAACTAGACTGACAGCTGACTTCATAACAGAAAACATAGAGGCCTAGAGACAATATATTTAAAGGGCTTAGAGAAAATAACTGCTTAGAAAACATTTCCTTCAAGAAGTAAGGTGGAATAAAGACATTTTTTAAACCTTGAAAGCTGAAAGCATGCCAACACCACACTTACAGAATAAACAATGCTAAGAGATGTTCCTCAGTAGAAGGCCGATGATTCCAGATGGGCGTTCACCAATAGAGAAAGCACTGAAAATTCCAAGACATGAGATTAGGGGTCAACATCTGGGTTATAGCTGCACAAATAGCAACTATAGAAAAACATGCACACACACACAAATGTGTGTGCTAACAAAAGAAAGAGCTGGTATGGCAATCTTAATGTCAGAAAAAGTGTAATTAGAACCCGAAGAGTAGATCGAGCTGTGAACAGTGGTTAGTTAGGTCACCACAGGTCCTTTCAAAGGACGGAGATAGCCAGTAACTTACAAATGAACAAAGATATCTTCCCAACTAAACTCTCCTCAAAGCATGTCAAGCTATTGCTCTCCCCCACCCTTCCAGAGTCATATCTCTTCCTTCCCTCTTTGTATTTTTCTGTCTTTTAATCTCTCCTTTTTTCTCCCTGTTCTTTCTTTCATTTTTATTAATGTCTTCCTTCATCCCATCACTCCTCCTCTCCCTGAATTTTGTGTGCATTTGTCTCACCTGTTGTGGACACAATAATATATTTTTAAATAGGAGTTCATATGTTTTTTCTATTTTATTTTAAAATTGCAATAAAATGTACACAAAATGTATTATTTTAACCATTTTTAAGTATACAGTTCGGTGGCGTTAAGTATAGTCATGTATCACTTAATGGTGAGGATACATTCTGTCAAATGTGTCATTAGGCGATGTTGTCCTTTTGTGAACATGACAGAGTGTACTAACAGGATCCCAGATGGTGCAGCTTCCTAGGCTCCTAAGTATAGCCTGTCACTCCTAGCCTATTAGACTATGTCCATGGTATAGCCTGTTACTCCTAGTCTGTTACTGTGTCCATGGTAGAGCCTGTTACTCCTGGCCTGTTACTATATCCATGGTATAGCCTGTTACTCCTGGCCTGTCACTCCTAGCCTGTTACTATATCCATGGTATAGCCTGTTACTCCGGGCCTGTTACTGTGTCCATGGTATAGCCTGTTACTCCTAACCTGTTACTATATCCATGGTATAGCCTGTTACTCCTAGCCTGTTACTATATCCATGGTATAGCCTGTTACTCCTGGCCTGTTACTATATCCATGGTATAGCCTGTTACTCCTAGCCTGTTACTATATCCATGGTATAGCCTGTTACTCCTAGCCTGTTACTATGTCCATGGTATAGCCTGTTACTCCTAGCCTGTTACTATGTCCATGGTATAGCCTGTTACTCCTAGCCTGTTACTATGTCCATGGTATAGCCTGTTACTCCTAACCTGTTACTATGTCCATGGTATAGCCTGTTACTCCTAACCTGTTACTATATCCATGGTATAGCCTGTTACTCCTAACCTGTTACTATGTCCATGGTATAGCCTGTTACTCCTAACCTGTTACTATATCCATGGTATAGCCTGTTACTCCTGGCCTGTTACTATGTCCATGGTATAGCCTGTTACTCCTGGCCTGTTACTATGTCCATGGTATAGCCTGTTACTCCTAGCCTGTTACTATGTCCATGGTATAGCCTGTTACTCCTAGCCTGTTGCTATATCCATGGTATAGCCTGTTACTCGTAGCCTGTTACTATATCCATGGTATAGCCTGTTACTCCTAACCTGTTACTGTTTCCATGGAATAGCCTGTTACTTCTAGCCTGTTACTATATCCATGGTATAGCCTGTTACTCCTGGCCTGTTACTATGTCCATGGTATAGCCTGTTACTCCTAGCCTGTTACTATGTCCATGGTATAGCCTGTTACTCCTAGCCTGTTGCTATATCCATGGTATAGCCTGTTACTCCTAGCCTATTACTGTGTTTGTGGTATAGCCTGTTACTCCTAACCTGTTACTATATCTGTGGTATAGCCTGTTACTCCTAGCCTATTACTGTGTTCGTGGTATAGCCTGTTACTCCTAGCCTGTTAGTATATCCATGATATAGCCTGTTACTCCTAGCCTGTTACTATATCCATGGTATAGCCTGTTACTCCTAGCCTGTTACTATATCCATGGTATAGCCTGTTACTCCTAGCCTGTTACTATGTCCATGGTATAGCCTGTTACTCCTAGCCTGTTACTATATCCATGGTATAGCCTGTTACTCCTAGCCTGTTGCTATATCCGTGGTATAGCCTGTTACTCCTAACCTGTTACTATATCCATGGTATAGCCTGTTACTCCTAGCCTGTTACTATATCCATGGTATAGCCTGTTACTCCTAACCTGTTACTATGTCCATGGTATAGCCTGTTACTCCTAGCCTGTTACTATGTCCATGGTATAGCCTGTTACTCCTAGGCTTCCAACCTGGACAGCATGTTACTGTACTAAATATTACAGGCAGTTGTGTATCTAAACATAGAAAAGGGAATGTGTTTGTACTGGGGTGTTAGGATGGCTGTGACATCACTAGACAATAGGAATTTTTCAGCTTCGTTGTAATCTGTGAGACCACTGTCGTGTATGTGGTTTATCATTGATTGTAAATGAACAGTGGCTCACTTAAAAAAAAAAAAAAGAAGAGCTTTGTTTACTTTGCCATAGAATTCTAATTTTCTTCCAGCATCCATCCATCCACCTGCCAAGACACGTGGGGCACCATATGCTCAGAGTCAGCCACAGCAGTCACAGGATGCAAGCACGGGTAGCTCTGTCTTAGATTTCATAGACTCCGTGGTTCCTTTGCTCGATTGTTTAGAGTTGGAATAATTACCGAGGTCAGACTTGAAGGGTTGGACCTGTATGAGGTTTCTGGCTTTGTGTTCCACTCCATGGACATGGGAAGCCCCCGTCAGCGCAGCCTTTCACTGAAGTTATGGCATTGCTGTCTTGGAGGGTGCTGGGGAGGGGGCGTATAAAGAGATTGTTTCAAATTTTAAAAATCACCTCCCTGTGACAACTGACGATGTGATCGTCTCACCTCTTTGAATGTCGTTTACTCTTTGTGCTTTCTTTGAGTGTATTTGGAACAGAGAACTGATGAGAGTCTGGTTTTAAAGGATTCATTTCTTTCCCATCTTGATTCTGTAGCTTGCAGTGAGCTGCATACTCCATCGCTAGATCGAAAGCCAAATAGTTTTGTTGCGGTGAGTGTCACCACCCCTCCTCAGGCATTCTGGACGAAGCATGCACAGACGGAGATCATTGAGGTGGGTGCTGGTGGTCCCTCCCTGAGGTGCTGTGGGACATTCTCTAGTGGTGTCTCTTGTCCTGATGTTCAGTTACTCGTGCATCTGTAGCTCAAGCCGTATTTACGTGAGTTGTTGCTATTTTCCCGTGGGTTTTCAGTACATTGATATTGTTCATCACATTTACTCATCTGGGTAGCATTTATGTTGCCATATCCTTTACAGTTATTGATTAACTATTGGCAGCTTGTTTTTGAACAATGATCCTGTAAGCTTTATTGCCTTGTAAGAGGTAAGACCTAATTCCTTCTTGTCACCTCCAGTTGGCTGTTACTTTGGAAGAGTTGTGCTCGTTAATCAAAGCTTAGAAGAGTATTAACTATTAACCACTCTCTTGTCCAGACATACCCCTATTTTTGTTGGTTTTTGTTTTTACAGCCTTTTGAGTTTTGTGTCACATGTTTACGTTTTCCACTAAGTTACATGATAAACATTTATGGAGGGAATTTTGCAAAATCCTTTTAGATCATTGAGCACATTACGTAACACTAAGTGTAGGAGTTGGTGGCATGAGATTCTGCAGTTGTAAAGTGAAGAATTATCAAACTTAAACTGCATTTCTTCTTCTTCACCAGTTGTGCATTTTGGAAGCTAGCCCACCCTTTCAGTCTCTTAGGAACTTATTTCCAAGTTCACGTCAACAATTCTGCTTTCTAAGCATTTGTTGAGTGCTACCTACACATCTAAGCATAGTGCCAGGCACTGTGGATGATACAGAGCCCACCAGGGCACAGTCCCTGCCCCGAGGAACTGACCAGCTGGTGGATGGGGAGGCAGAAATGAATATGGCTGCCCCTGTGCACAGCGAGTATGGGAAGTATTGGAGTAGGAAGGTGAGGAGAGCACCAGGAGGCTGGGATCCTATCTGACTCTCAGAACAGGCTTCCTAGGGTGGGGCTTCATGAAATTCTGCTTCAGTACGTCTGCATTTCTCGCAAGCATTTCTTGCAAGCTCCCAAGTGCATTTCTCCCAAGTGCATTTCTCGCAAGCTCCCAAGTGATGCCCAGGTAGCCAGTCGGGGGACTCCATGTGAAGAGCCCCGCCAAAGTTCTGTTGTGGTTATGCAGATGTGTGACCACAGGGAAGGATCATGCGGGTTTGGGGTCTAACTGTATCCTGGTCGGTGTGTGAAAGGCACACGTAGCAGAGCAAGGAACGAAAGCCTTGAAGGCCGTGGTGTTAATCAGCACATGGTAGTGAGCCAGTGTAGGCTTCTGGGCAAGGGGAGTCACCTGACCAGATGTCCTAACTTGTATAGGACAGTCATTTGGAGGAGCGAGAGTGGGAGGGAGTGGAAAGAAAGGAGTGTGTGACAGAGACTTTGAAGGTGAACCTTGCAAGGGGAGTTGCAAGAGAATAGCATCTCCCAGACAGCAGGGAGTTTTGTCTGCTTTGCTTCACTACTGTTTCCCAGACACTTAGAATAGTGCCTGGTGCCCAATAAATGTTTGTGGAAGGAATGAGTGAATGAATGATCACTGGGTGGTTGAGAACAACAGAGAAGAAGGCACCAAAGTGCATGCCCAGGCTTTTAGCCTGCTTGGAAAGGGAGTCAGAGGTGGCCTTAGCCAAGGGCGGCCTTAGCCAAGGGCGGGTAGAGGGAGAGATGAGTTGGTCGAGGCCCTAGCAGCCCACTCAGGTGGAGCTGTCCAGTCAGCTTGACCGCCTGGATCTGGATCTGCAGAGAGAAAACAGAGCCAGAGGCCCAGGGAACGGTGGCTGTGATAATTACCTGGTACCTGAGAGAGTATGGTATTACGGGGCTTTGGAGGACACGGCTAAGCTGCCGGGAAATAGTCACCTATGATCTAAAAACTAGTAGTTGATCCTAAAAAAAAAGGATAGCTTTTAAAAAGTCAGGCTTTAATTATCCCAGACACAGGCTTCTAGAAGTATATAATAAACCACTTAAGCCATTCATTTTCTCTCTTTCATCTGCTTGTTTGTACCTCTTAAAGGAATAACCCAGAGTCGTAGGTCTAAATACACATTACACTTTAAGTCATAAAACTAAGAGTGCGTGTGGACATCCAACTTGTTTCAGTTTTTAGAAATTCCTCCCTCTGAGTGTGAAACCCATGAAATGAGTCCTCAGGCCGAGCTTGTTTCATGGGCTGATTTATTGTGTGTGGATCTGTCATGGTCTGTCAGACTTCCTTTTCCTCTTTTAAAAAGCAGAGAGTTTTGTTTGTTTGTTTGTTTTATGTATTTATTTGAGCTGCCTTTAGCATTCGTGTTGATTCAAGACAGTGAGAATGTTAGTTTCTCATTCTGAAAATGTTGATGTATTTCAAAAGCAATTACATTTTTAAAACCCAACCCTGTGTTCTGATTATTTCCTTTTCTGTTCTAGGGAACCAACAATCCTATATTTCTAAGCAGTATTGCCTTCTTTCAAGACTCTCTTATCAATCAGATGACACAAGTCAAACTCTCCGTGTATGATGTCAAAGATAGATCTCAGGGAACAGTTAAGTAATGTGTTGTAGTTCGTGGGATTTTCTTCCCTTTGAAAAAATTATGTAATCATTTGAATGAGAGGTGAACACAGATTCACTTCACTACTGGCTCACAAGTTAGCTCATGTCTAAATACATTTGTCTTTGCAAATTTTTAAGCTTTCCCATCGGGCTTCTGACATCAGAGTAAGAGGTGCTGTGGGAGGCAGTCAGCTGGACTCTCTGGGGCCATGGTAATTGCATCAGAAGCAAAGCAAGTACACCAATGCTGCCTCTCTTCCTTCTCTTCCTCAGATGTATTTACTGGGCTCTGGAACGTTCATTGTCAAAGATCTGCTGCAGGACAGGCATCATAGGTTGCATTTAACACTAAGGTTGGTGTTCAGTTTTATTCCCTTGGAAGGATCTGGAATGATGAGGTCCAGGGACAGGTGGGGAAAGGACCCACTTCCTATACTGAGAGAGCACCCTTCCCTTCTCAGAAGCAGTCTGTGTGGCGACACTGTGTTGTCTCCTGAGGTGAAACAAATTACTTAGCCTATCAGGGAATGGAAACTTTTAGCATCCATAGGAGATATGAGCACAGCTGTTCCGAGCCCTAAAGGAAGGCCTGGATACATATCTAATAATACTGAGTGTGTTTCTCTGTTATTTAGCCCCTCCCCAGTAAAATATAATCTCCCAGACAGCAGGGAGTTCTGTCTGCTTTGCTTCACTACTATTTCCCAGACACTTAGAATAGTGTCTGGTGCCCAATAAATGTTTGTGGAAGGAATGAGTGAATGAAAGAGAAACACCCACCGTGTCCCAGGATGAAAAGATGAAAGATATCAGGATGTCAATCCTTCCAAATCATTTTAGGGGCACTTCCCACCAAAAACTCTGACATGGTGTTCTTTTTTCAGAATAATGTAAAAATTGTGAGAACTATGATCTGGGAAAATAATCCAAAAAAGCTAGGAAAATTTGACAAAAAATTAAGTCCCTGCAATGTTGAGACGTTCTGAAGTTACTGTAAGTAAAGTAAAGACAGTATTGCAGGCGTTGACTATCTAATCAGTGGACAGGATGAGAACCCTGCAGCATCGTCTAAACATAGTTTGTTTAGAGAACTTCATTCAGGAAAAGGGAAAAATCTTAGGTAAAATGAGAGGGATCATGTAAGGAAAAGGACTTTGAGAAAAATATTTAGTTACATCATGCGTCAGAGTTAACTCTGGTTGGGTTAGAGTTAAATGTACAAAACGGACACCATTCTTTTTAAAGGAGCTAAAGGCGACTGATCATTGAACAGATAGAGCAGGAAAGGACTTCACAGGCACGAGGACAGGGCGAGGAAATCACAAAGGAAATGGTCAGTAGATGGGACCAGACAAAAATTTAGAACCTGGTTAAGTGAGACCTTGTAAATAGAAAGCCTGAAGTTCCAGGGTGAACCCAGGCTCCCTGGATGGATCAGATGAGCCCAGGCCACCATCAGCCACCTAGGTAAAATTAGAGGGATCGTGTAAGGAAAAGGTGTCAGGGCAAAGCTGACTGAGGCTGGGGTAGCATCAGCTCTGTCATCTCAGGATTCAAGGGCCTTGGGCTAATATAAACCTGAGGGTGGGGTGGGAAGGAACAGAAAAGGGCCCAGGGCCAGAACAAGGTGTTCTCTAGTCCTCAATCTGGCACGTGTCCCCCTCACCCTCTGGGCAGGGGTGAACCCAGGCACTGGCAGCAGCTCGAGAACAGCATTGGCTCCTCCTCAAGGAGGCCCCCTCTGACTTCACCCGCACGTCCACACTTCCCTGTGGTGCGTTGTCCGTTCAGACACAGCCCTCCGCTGTGCCCCATGGTTTCCTCGTCTGTCTCGCTGGGGACGAGCCCTGTGTACACAGCGAATGCTGACCGACTGGTCAGTCAGCTCGGCCCTGCTGCCCCCAGGACCCTGATGACCCAGTATGGCCAGGACTTTGCATTTCAGCAGAAAAGAAGCACAGTTGCAGCACCACTCATTAGAGCATGTTGTACATCACAGGTCTGCAGAGAGTGACTGTGTGGGTAACATCACCGTGATTGGCTGGCAGATGGAGGAGAAGTCAGACCAACGGCCCCCTGTGACCCGGTCTGTGGACACTGTCAATGGGAGGGTGAGTTACGCCACTTTCCTCCTCTCCTTTAGAAAGAGCAAGGGAATTAATCGGTAAAAATGCGGCTCTCGTGGACTTAGCCTTTGTGCTCAGCAACGGGCAGGGCCTGCTGCTTGATGCCGCTCCCCATGGACACTCCGGTCCTCCTTAGGCACACCTTGAAGCAGGAAACAGGGCCCCCGCCCGTAAAGCCCTGCTGCCCTGGAGCCTGCCTGTGTTCTGGGTGCTATACTGGCCACATCTAGAGGGCAAGAGTAAGCAGGAAAGAGCCCTGCTGGAAGAACTGCAGTCAGGGGGCAACTTAGGGGGTGTGGAGGGCAAGTGAAGAGGCATTTAGGACCCAGGTCATCTGTCCTGTTTTGTTAATATCTTCCTCTCCCAGACACATGCATGCCCTGCAGTCTCCTGGTACATACCTTCACCTTTTCATATGCTCCCCTCTTCCCCGATCCTCCTCCGCCTCTCCAGCTACACCCTCCTGCCCCCACTCTCATGCACAGTCTCTCACACAGACACTCAAAGAAAAATTCTAATTTCAGAGCCCCAACGCTGGTAAGTAGTCATTGTTGTACAATACAGAGATGTCTCATTTCACCCAAAATAAGCCCAGAATGTTAGTTCTGGAAATATCCCTTGGCATCATCTATTCTCTTCCTTCCGTTTTATACATCAGAACACTGAACCACAAGGTGAAGTGGCTGAGAAACCACGCCTGCCTAGAGACTTGTGTGTGCATGAAGTGGTTCAACACACTGGGAGGTGAATTACTTTGTGGCTTGGGCAGCATCTTTATTGTAGAGTTCATGGTGGATATTCATCTTAAGAGTTCTGTTGTGATGTATTTAGGCCACTGTTTCTGCTGAGTGTTCTGGAGTCATCTGAATCTCACAGTTTTCTTGTGCATTTCCTTACACATTATCAGATGGTTCTTCCCGTCGATGAGAGCTTGACGGAGGCATTAGGAATCCGATCTAAATATGCTTCGTTGCGAAAGGACACTTTGCTGAAATCGGGTAAACAGCTTCCTCCTTTGGTATTCTTGCCTCTCTTGTGAGTATCCACTTGGGCCCGCAGTCCCCTTTGCTCCCCACCTGCTGCGATTGTCCCAGCCATGCACCCTCATTGTCACCTCTCTGCTGCTTATCCTCGTGTTCTTTTTGCAGCATATAAAGAGTTACTACAAAAAACAATAATAATTTTCCTTTAAAGAGGATTAAAAAATAAAAAAGAGTCAGTAATACTCCAAGGAAGTCATACTTCATCTCACTCTTTCCTGTTTCACATCGGGGTTGGTGACTGGCGACAGCCTCCCTGCCCCCAGCTGCTCGCGCTTTAGAGTTAGTTACATGTTCTGGGACAGGAAGATTGCATGTTGCTGGGAAGAAGCGTTCAGACCTAGTCACTTGGTGGGTTTTCGGTGTAAGCGTTTTAATTCCCGTGAGATGAACAGTGAGAGGACTTGAGTTGTCACCATCCCCGAGGGCCAGGAGCGAAGAACCCACGAGGCAGGTCTGCAGCCAGTTCACATGCAGCCTGTCTCCCGTCATCCCACCTCAGTGTTTGGCGGCGCCATCTGCCGCATGTACCGGTTTCCAACCACCGACGGTAACCACCTGCGGATCCTGGAGCAGATGGCAGAGAGCGTGCTCTCCCTGCACGTGCCCCGGCAGTTCGTGAAGCTCCTACTAGAGGAAGATGCAGCCAGGTGAGGCCACACGGAAGGACTGACTGTCCATCATACCCATATCATGTGCCCCTTCCTTTCTGAGATATAGCGGGCAGAGCACGGGCATCAGATAGACCGGACTGCAGACACAGCCTCTCCCCTGCAACTCTGTGGCCTTGGCTTGCCTAAGCCTCAGTGTGCTCATTGGGATTATGGATTCCTGTGCAGGGATTTTGTAAGACAGTGTGCTTGAACCCAGATGTGTGTCCTGTACTCAGAACCTCCTCCCTTCTCCTCTTTCCTCTTTTTTTTGAAACAGAGTCTTGCTCTGTTGCTCAGGCTGGAGTGCAGTGGTGCAATCTCAGCTCAACGCAGCCCCCGTCTCCCAGGTTCAAGTAATTCTGCTGCCTCAGCCTCTGAAGTAGCTGGGATTACAGGTGTGCGCCACCAGGACTGGCTAATTTTTGTATTTTTAGTAGAGATGGCGTTTCACCATGTTGATTAGGCTGGTCTCGAACTACTGACCTCAGGTGATCCACCCACCTCTGCCTCCCAAAGTGCTGGGATTACAGGTGTGAGCCACCATGCCCGGCCTGCCTTCTCTTCTTTTCTTTCCCCTCTCACTAGTCCTTCAGAAAGTTAGAAATAACTGGTAATTGTTTGATCCTAGCTGCCCAGCAGTAGTTTTCTAGGTTAGGGTCATAGATAAGGGCTCCAGAAGACTGAGTATGACCTGTCAGCTCACTGTGGTCCCATAAGGGTCTTAACCCTTCTGCATCTCTCAACCCAGGGCATATTTTGTCAGTCCTAAGGTGAGGAGAAGCCCAACAGGTGGCCCAGGCCGTGCAGATTATGTCCCCTGTCTCTCTTTCAGTTTTGTGCTGCTGTAACAGAATGCCAGAGACTGAGTAATTTATAATGATCAGAAAAGTGTTTGACTCATGGTTCTGGAAACTGGGAAGTCCAAAAGCATGGTGCTGGCATCTGGTGAGGGCCTTCATGCTGCATCATCCTGTGGTAGAAGGCATCACACAGCAAGAGCGCTCTTGAGAGAAGGCCAAACTTGCTTTTATGACAAACCCACTGTTGCAATAACCAACCCATTCCCACCATAATGACATCAATCCATTCATGCGGGCAGAGCCCTCATGACCACATCATCTCTTAAAGGTCCTACTTCTCAAAACTGTGGCATTCAGGATAAAGTTTCCAACATAGGAACTTTGGGGGATAGTCTCAGACTGTCATTTCTCCTCCTTGTCCTCAAATGATGTTAATTATAAACACAATATAACAGAAGCATGAAAGAAAGCAAGGTAGCCAGAATCCTGCTGTTTTCAAAGAGCTATTTTGTTTACATTTTTTATCTGGAAAAAACATCACACTTAAAGATGAAGGGCAAGAATGCAATGAGCACCTAGATACCTTTCACCTAGAATCACCAATTGTTAATATTTTGCCAATTGCTTTCTCCATGTATGCACATATTTTAGTAATTTTAATTTTACAAATTTTCATTAAGCTTTGTCCATATTTTTGTGTATTTACATAGTGACAATCTATTTTTCCATGTATTTTCGGTTTTTATGTTTAAATTTCCCATTACATGGTGTATTATAACTTTAAAGAGTTTATTCATTTTTTATTTGAGACAGGGTATTGCTCTGTTACCCAGGCTGGAGTGCAGTGGCGCCATCAGAGCTCACTGCAGCCTGAAACTCCTGGGCTCAAGCCATCCTCTTACCTCAGCTTCCTGGACAGATAGAACTACAAGCACACACCACTATGCCCAGCTAATTTTTTCATTTGTTGTAGAGACAGGGTCTTGCTATGTTGCCTAGGCTGGTCCCCAACTCCTGGCCTCAAGCACTCCTCCCACCTTGGCCTCCCGAAAAGCTGGGATTCCAGGCGTGACCCACCATTCCTGGCCAAGAGTTCATTCACTTAACAAGTGCTTTAGTTCAAGGGTTTTGTTGTTGTTTTCAGCAACAACCACATGTCAGGCACTGTTCTCGGTGTGGGAGGCTTCTTGGTGAGCTCAGTGTGGGGGTTGGTTGGAAGCAGAACTGGGAACCTCACACAGGAACTCCAGATGTGTCCGCGTGTGCTGGGACTGAAAAGGGAACTGTGAGAAGAAAGAGGGTGCTCAGGGCAGGCCTCTGTGAGATGATGACATTAAACTAACACCTAAAGCCTAGGAAGCAGTCACATGAACACGGCAGACACATTCCAGAGAGAGAAACTAGCAGTGGCCTGGCAGACAGAGCTGCTGTGCTCAGAGCGGCCTGAGGTCATGGGGCGGCTGGCCATGTAGCCCTACCTGCTCTGGGTGTCCTTTTATATTAATTTTGCTATTTTAATAATAATAAAATGGCACAGCTTTTAAAAACAATTTAGACAAGTCAGATTTCCTAAGACCTTATATAAAATTTAGCTTTTTTTCTTTCTCAAAGGAAAACATGAGTGCAGTATAAAAAAAACAAATAGCGCAGAAAGGTTTTAACTAAAAACAACTCTTGGGGCTCTACTTTCTGATCTGCTTCCCAGAAACAATCACTTTTTGAGAGTTTTAGTGTTTACTGATGTATTTCTAAATATATGTGTAAAGTGTTCTCTTCATTAATCAATAAATTCATTAATCAATTTCAGGGATTAGCTACTGATTTTCTATGCTGAGGGTTTGGCCTTTTATACCTTCCCAGTCCCCATTTTCCTAATTTGGTTATCGTTTTTGTTTTTAAATCCATCTTGTGATTTTGCTGTTATGATTGTGTAGCTGTTCTTCATTGCTGAGCTAAGGAATTTATATTTCAGTTCTTATACAGCTTTTATTTTTTTGGAGATGACAATTCCTCTTTTTCTTCTCTCCTCCCTCCTCTTCCCCCTTCCCCCTTCTGTTACCCTGTGCCTCTGTCGAGCACACACATAAAGACAAGATCTGGCCTGATTTCATCCACAGTGACACAGCGGGCCACTTTTAGGTTCAGACGGCTCCTCTCTCACATAGACACGGAAGGAAGAATAGCCAGAGGTCCCAGCTCCCATGGTCCTCGTCCCATACCCAGAAAGGATGGCAGTGAGACAGAAGGGCTTGTGACGGCAGCGCGATCTGTGGAACTCCGCTGCTGAGGAGCCAACTCTAGGCTGCAGCTGAGCGGTTTTAGATTCTGCAGCTCCCTTATCAGGGGGAGAGCAGAAGGCCCACACCTCAGGAGAACCTGGGAGGCGATGAGAAACGCCGTCCTGATAGCCTCCTAGGGGAGATGATGAGACAAGCAGGAGATGGCTCGGGGCGGTTACTCACAGCCTGCAGTCCTCTCTGTTCCGGGAGGATCACACGTGGTTTGCCCAGACTCAGGTGGGCTGTGGTTTGAGCCTGTGCCTGAGGGTGCCTGCAGGTCATTAAGGTAAAGCGTCTCCCCGGCAGCCCTGCCTCCTTCTCCCCACCTGCACTTAGTTTCCCTTGAACATTTGACTAAGTTCCCGTGAAAAGCTACTCTGGATACATTCCCGTGTGGTCAGTGGTCTGCCTTTCATGTAGCTAGTTGCCTTTTAGACAGGTAGTGTAACCATTGTCCTGGCCCACCCTGGGCATCCGTGATTCTTGCCCTGCAAATGCTGTTGTCCTGGGTAGGCCTCCTGGGCCTCTCTGGGGAAACCAGTTAGCCTGCAGCCTGATGCATCTGTGTCTTGCTTTCAGAGTGTGTGAGCTGGAGGAGCTGGGAGAGCTGTCCCCTTGCTGGGAGAGCCTCCGGCGTCAAATTGTCACCCAGTACCAGACCATCATCCTCACATACCAGGAGAACCTGACCGACCTCCATCAGTACAAAGGTGGGCGCACCCCCATGCTGTCCCCACACACACACAGGCACACACACACACTCTCACTCACTGTCACTCACCCTGCTTTCCCAGCCAGAGATCTGGAAGACAGGGCCACTTACACATTCCCACTGACAGACCCTTTAATGCATTTTTAAAAATAACTTCTCATGTAGGTGTGAATTCTTTCAAATATGGGTTTTTCAGATCTTAATTAAAAAGACCAATCTGTGAATTGCAGTGAAGAGTCCTCCTATGGTGTCATCTACCAAAACAGTCACTGTGGAATGAAATTTAGGGGAGGCGAAATCTCGGGCTATTACTGGTTCATGTTATTTTTTCATCTTGGACTAATGTCAGTACAGTGACCGAAAGGATGTAGGTCACTCGCCTGGAAACAAAGCAGGTTTTCTTGATTTCGCGATTTAAAGAGTCAGGGGTAACTTCTGTTAAACATATAAATTGTTAAGGGGGAACTCTGTATTTTAAGGCACAGAAAGCAAAGTGGAGTGTGAATGAACACCTCACTGTTTCTCCTTGAAAGATGCCATTTGATTTTCAAAACACTCTCAGGGCAGATTTAGAAATCTGTTCTTGCTCCTTTTTTATTCCAAGTGGAATGCATTTTTTGGTTTTTCATTACTCTATGTATTACTTTAGCATTTTGAATTATTCTCTATTTTTAGATTCTTCCCTTTGATTCCTCTACATAATGGAATTTCAGGGTTTAAGGAAAACCATAAGCCCTTAATATGGTTTTGACACAGAACCTATGAACCCGTCCGTAAACTTGGATGAGAAGAAGCCAAATGCAGAACTGACAAGGAGGTGTTGCTTAGGCTTGGCGTGAGTCTGAAGAGAGGGTCTGAGTATGTCACCAGGAGAAACGGCAGCATTTGCCCAGGAAGGAACCAAGGGACTCACCCATGCCTGCTGCCTCTTACCTGGGAAAGTGTGAAACCCACCCAGCCTTGAGTGTTCTAGAGCAGAGCCTCTCAAATGTCAGTGTGCACCCGGATTCCTTGAGAACTGTGTTGAAGTGGCGATCCGGGATTGTGCCTTTCTCATAGGCTCTCGGACGCTCATGCTGCGGTCTGTGGACTGCACCCTAAGTATCAGGCCTCAGAGAGCCATCTCCTGTGGCAAACTGGAGGCACACAGTGGCTGGTCTGCGGTTCGTATGCTGGCAGTATCAGTTGATATTTTTCATTAGATGAAACGTTTTTTTTCTTCTACTCTTGTGGTTGTCAGTTTAATTTGCAATCCCTTTATTTTGTAGGCATGTGATTCTCTAATTAGTTATGGATTCTGATTGTAGAAACAAGATTGTGGATATTTGTTATAAAATAGTGTCCAGGCTCCTTAACCAACAGACGTGAACAGGGAAACATCGAAGTTCGTGTGTCAGAAGGCTGGAATCAATGCTGTATTGCATTTGTTCATCTCGATGGGCCTGAAGGGTTGAGAAGGCCTCTTCATCAATTTTGAGAGTTGAGATGTATTGCTCTAGCCAAACCAAATTCTTAGCTGTTTGATGATGGCGGTCTCTGGAGTCAGAACTGGCAGTCTCTGGCATGGATCCCTTTGCTTATGCCAGTAGTGCTGACATCGTGCTGCACAGAATGACATTTTTTGTATCAGATCTCTCAGTAGAGAGCCGGGTCTTGGAAGACGCAGCATCGTTACCATAGCTTTTTGAAGCCAGTTCTCCCTGGCGCCATTCATTCCCTGAGCACCCAGAACCAGCTCTCCCGACCAGCGGGCTGCCCTTGGCGTCTCACCCACCTGCCACCTGCAAATGAAATGTGCTCATGGCAACTCAGAACCTTCTAGGCCACTGCTGACACATACCTGCATATATGCCACAGCATCCTCTGAATTCCATGTTCTACTTGCAGCTCGTGAACGCAGCATGCGTGCTGATGGCCTTTATCTTCTCCTGTTCCATTTCTTAGGGCCCTCGTTTAAAGCAAGCAGTTTGAAAGCAGATAAAAAGTTAGAATTTGTTCCCACAAACTTGCACATACAAAGGATGAGAGTTCAAGACGATGGAGGATCAGGTACCTATTTTTCTGCCCCCTCTCGTTGAATCACATTTTGCTGCTTTTCTCTCTAGGTACTTGGTCCCTGAGTGCCCCACATCTGCCCATTTCCCTGTGTGCTCTGGGCGGCTGGGAGGAGAGATTTGTCACAAAGACCTTCAGAAGGTCTCTGTTAAGAGCCCACACCCCTTCCTTTTGTCTCTCCTCGCTCTAGCTTCCCTTTGCATTTCTGCAGTAGAAAGTTGCCTGTAGGCCATTCTGCCCAAGGAGGGATGCAAACAGGAGTTACAGGGTGGCTTTTTGCAGCCCATGTGGCTCCACTGGAAATGTTTTGAACCCCTTTTTGCTGAGGTGATGGCACTGGGCTCCAGGAGACCCTTGGGCGGCCAGGGCTGTGGGAGGGAGGGTCAGGACCCCAGACTTGTGTGCATATCCCTATAGCTGGCTTGTCCACAGGCCTGAGCCCAGAGTAATGGAGGAGAGCTTTCTGTCATTCAGATCAGAACTACGATATCGTCACCATCGGGGCGCCAGCAGCACACTGCCAAGGTTTTAAGTCAGGAGGTCTCCGCAAAAAGCTGCACAAATTTGAAGAGACCAAGAAACAGTAAGTAGCCAGAGAGAGCTTGTGGTCCTTGTACAGTTTTCTGATGCTTCTTTTCTCCGTTTAAAATAAAATCAAAGTATGACCACAAGAACATCCAGCCGTCTGATGTGCCTCTGCGTGGTGGGAGGATCTGCTTCATGGAGCCTGTGCTGCTCTGTTGGCGTGTGACTGAGCTGGGTGGGTGATGAGGGCACTGGATCGATGGTCCTGTCCTGCAAAATGAGGAGCAGATTGTGATCCCACCTCAGAAGTGGTGCTCCAGGCAGCCACCCTGTGCGGACTCTGCTGGCTCGGCATCCTTTAGAGTCCCTGGCCAGTCAGTTGAGCACCACAGGCACTGAGCCTGAAGCATGTTGTTTCCTAGAGTGCAGCAGTGGTAAACATTCCCAGTTTCTGAAAGATTTGGGGGGCCGTACAGAGCTCCTGTCCTGAGCAGGAAATTTCCAGGTAGGGCGGGTGGTGAAGGGCATGTCAGGCAAAGACGTGGCAGAAGCAGTGCACGTGGCGAAATGTGGCCGGGTGCGCAGTGCCGGCGGCGGAGAGCTAAGAGGGCTGGCCTTGCTGCCAGCCTGCTCTGTGACCAGAGGTACAGTGCCCAGCAGATCTAGGCTTGGTTCCAGGAGCTCAGGGCCTTGCCTGGGAGTAGACAAGTCAGCAAGCGCCATTTGGCGTGACCAATGCCCGAAACAAGCATGCTGTTTCGGGTGCATGGAGCAGGGCATCCACCCAGCCCCCAGGGGTGGGAGGGAGAGAGCCAGAAATAAACCCAAGCTGTTGTGTTAGATGTGCGGGAGGCATTGATGATCTTCCAGAACGTCACCTGTGAAGATTTCAGCAGCTCAGGAAGTGGGGGTGATGTGTGTCGATGACCGGTAAGGTCCTTGGACTGTGACCGTAAAATAGAGGAAGTAGCATGAGGTGTTTGGTTGAGGGAGAATAATGATGACTTAGCATGTGTTTGGGCCGATAGGGAAAGACAGAAGTGGATGAGGTAAGGTGAATGAGAAGAAAACAGCGTTGGAGCAGGGTTCTCACAGGATGGAAAGAGGCAAGAGCAGGCGTTCGTCAGAAGGGCCAGGAGAAGAGGGGGCGCTGCAGAGAGGTGTTTGAGGTGGGAAGGAGCAAGCGGAGGCATCCATGGACAGCCTCTGCGGCATGTGGGCTGGGGAGGGTCAGACTCAGCAAGCGAGCATGGAACAGTGTGAGGGAAGGTGAGCAAAGGCCCAGGGAGCGTCACAAGAATCCCCTGGACGGTCAGGTGAAGAACTCTGGCACAGGCCACGGAGCTGGTGGGTGGCACCTGACTGTGCTGCCACGGCTGGGAGTCAGGACATGACCTGAGAAAACGGACTCTAGGCTGGAGCTGGAAGGAGGTAAAAGGTCAGATCCGTGGCTGAGGGGGTCAGGGAGGCAGCTAGGGGCATCACTGCTCAGGGGCAAGGCTGAGCAGGGAACGGAAGAGCGTGCCCTGTGAGAAGTCACGTTCAGATACATGCACGGGCTGCCTGGGCCAGCCCAGAGCCCAGTGAGTCCTGGAGACGGGAGGAGAAACAGGGAAGGGGAATTCAGGCCCCCAGACAACCTACTTGACCTCGATTCATTCCCAAGGGTGCTTCCCTAAGACAAACCAGGTAACCGGACCTGCCTTAGGATTCGCTGACTCCAGCGTCCCTTTGGGAAATAGGAAGAAGACGCAGCTTCCTGTGGCCACCGCAGCTCTGCACAGCCAGCCAGAAAGCGTGTCTGTCGCTCCATTGCATGTTGCCCTGTGGAGAGTGTGAGCGTGCAGCTTGAGATGGGATGGGGCCTTGAAGGAGAACGCGTAGGAACTCTGTGTGGCCAGTCGAGAAGGGGGCCTCCTGGGGGTCGTCATCCCAGGCGACTTGGGGTGTTAATTCTTGATAACTCTGCATGTTAACTTTAGAATTTATTTCTCAAAATACCTCTTTAGTATTTTTCAAATAGATAAGTTTCTATTTAATTTCCTACTAATGCCATCAAGCCACTTATGGATACGGTATTCATGATCTGAACTTTCCTTCCAATGCAGAGGTAACTTGGCCTGAGGTGGGGTGTCTCCCTGGGGCTCGAGCACAGGGAGTGAGGCTGCCCTAAGGAATAAGCACGTCGGGCTCACAATTGTAGTCATCCCTGTAGTTGGGACCTCAACACATAATTTTAAGTATTTTGTCAAAAAATAAGTTGGCTTTTTAATTTTTTTGTTTTTGCATTTGGTATTTGCTAACAAACTGCTAATATTTCATTTTGGTTCTTTTCTTTAGCAGTTTTGAGGAGTGTTGGTGAGTTTTCTGTCTGTGGAGAGAGTGTCTGTTTGGGTCTCGTCCTCACGCAGAGAAAGCTTGTGCCATCCCCACCCCTCCTCGTGTGGGCTTCCCCCGCGGTGCTGCCATGGTTCCTAGTCACGCACCTCGTAGACAGTTCTCCCTTCCAACTGCAATGTTCTTTAATAATGAATAGCCAATCTTCAGTCTGCTGTTTTACCTTTCAAACCTGGCAGCCGCGTGTTGCCGTGCTCGCTCTGAGAAAGGTCCTCGTTCTGTTTCTCCCAGGAGGAGGAAGGGCCCAACCTGGGAAGCCTCTAGGTGCCGAGTTCTCGTGTCAGCCCCTGGGTGCAGCTGGGAACCCCTTTCTGTCTTAAACAGGAATCTTGTGGCTTTTCAGTTTTCACTTCACTATTACCTCTTGTACAAATGAAGCCAGCCTACCTCTTCATGATACTTATTAATTTATGCTGATGTTAATAACACTGTTACCAGGGTCAGTTTTACTCCTGGGGGTGGGTGCAAACCAAGATTTAATACAACTGAGTGGCTTTTGCCACCAGATAATTAGTTGACAGTTAGAATCCACAGTGTCTGCTGCCTGGGCTTCCCTCCTGCTGCCCCAGGCTCATAACAGAGGCTCTGCAGTGGTGCTTCATTCAGAGGCACCTGCAGCCCCTCAAGAAATGCTGCTGCCTCAGAGCCTGTGACCCATGGGGCTCAGGGGCTATGGCTGGGCCCTGCCGGAGGTGTCAGGCTCTGCTGGGGGCATCTGACAGCAGGGAGCACTGAGGACATTCCTCCATGTCCAGGCTGAGGCCTCTCAGCTTCCCCCTGGGGTCCTTTTCCCTGAGGGTACTTCAGGTACAAGGGAGGGAGGAGGGCATCTAGGCACGGTCGCTGCTGCTCCCGCCTCCCTAACGGAGGAGACCCACGCTACTTCTGTGGAAGTGGCTCCCAGCCTCCCCTCCCTGCCTTTTCTCTACTGGGGCCTCTTTCAAGGCCTGATCTTTCCCATAGGGGACAAGTAAAGTACTTAGGGGTTGAGTCTAGGGGTGCAGGGGAAGAGGAATGGGAGGAGAGTGCCAAAGGCCCAGCTGCCACCGAGGCCTGCTCCTGGGTAAATCCCAACCCAGGTGTTTTGGGTTGAACCTTGTTCCTGGGGAACTTTCTGAGTTCCTGGGTTCCCTCTGAGGACCCTCCATTGCCCAGTCTGGGCCTGGTCACCCCTTCCCCCTCTGCTCCCTGCTCCCCGTATACAAGACTGTCCCCGAAGCGGGGAGGGGATGGAGTGGGGAGGGTTATAGGCAGAAGGAGGGTCCCTGCCTGGAGACTGTGAGGGGCTAAATCCCAGGCGGAGAGGACCCAGCCTCCCCATCCTCCTACCCTTGCAGAACCCAGCTCCTTGGGGGCTCAGCCTCTGCAGAGGTGATCCTGCTCTTCTCATGTCCAGAGTGACTGTTGCTCAGCAGTTACCAGCAGTTCCTGGCCAGGGCCACAAGACTCCACCCTTACGCTCTCGTGGCATCTTCAGTTTAGCCCATGACCCCAGCTCTGGGTAGGTCCGGGTCTGGGGTGGGGTCCTAATGCAAAGTCCAAGGGCCATACCTAGGATACTGCCTCCTGGGGCTGCCCCTGGGCTTCATGTCTACACCTCCATCCTGCCGCCTTCATGTGGCCGCCTGGTTTTTAAAACTAGGTAGTTGAGCACACATGCTTCTATTTTCCTCATCATCCTAAACAGCACTTCTTTGGAATTTGCCTTTTCTTGCCTCTGCCATGTATATCCCGTGCATAAGTCCCAGGTACCATCGTCAAAACATGACTTGTGAGAACACAGGGCAAGTAGAGGGCAGTGCTTTTCTCTTGGCCTGGGCAGAGGGTATATATTTGTTGAAGGGCACACGGCCACCTCCTTGCACAGAAGTAGATCTGCATACAGCACATTTAATATATTTACTCTAAATATTGGGGGTCTGGGAAGAATCCATTTTTTTTCACCATTTTTGGAGTCAGGGTCTTGCTCTGTCCCCCAGACTGGAGTGCACTGGCACCATCAAAACTCACTGCAGCCTCAAACTCTTGGGCTCAGTTGACCCTCCTGCCTCAGCCTCCTAAGTAGCCAGAACCACAAGCACAAGCCACCATGCCTAACTAATTTTTACATTTTTTTAAAAGATGGGGTCTCCCGATGTTGCCCAGGCTGGTCTTGAACTCCCGGGCTCAAGCAGTCCTCCTACCTTGGCCTACCAAAGTGCTAGGATTATAGGCCACCATGCTTGGCTGAATTGATTTTTTAACACCCTATTTTGAGATTGTGTTTTTAAGACGAAATGATCCTAGAAGGCAGCTATTCATTTGGAAGAGTGATTGCAGATTGGAAAGTAGTCGTGTGCACATCGTGCTGTGGAATGACTCCTGTTGTGCCCCGCGAGCTTGAGTGCGGTCTGCTGCATGAGCTTCTGGCACATCCATTGTTTTTTACTGTGGCGTGTGGGCTTGTGGTGGTGGTGTTTCTTTCTGGGGTGCTTTGGTTTTCGGTTTTTGCATGTTTGCCGCATAATCCAGCAAGGGAAGGGGTAGTGGTGGTTTCTTGATGACCCACTTTGGGACTTCCCTGGGAAGGGGCCAATGGGAGAAGATTCTCAGCCCTGAGCAAGGTGACCGTCATCTCCAGGGGAAGTGATGGAGGATGTGGTGAGAGGTGCCCTCGCTCCTCCTCTTTCTCGCTGTTCCCCAGAATTCAAAGGGTCACTCTTTATAGGGACCAGTCAGGACCCCTCATCCTATGTGTGAAGGGACACCAGTTCTACCCAGAGCTCACAATTTCAAATTTTAGGAGGAGACCCTCTGCACTGGTGGCTTGTACTTCTCTGCTTTCCTCAGCTTCCTCAGATGGTCTGAAAATAAATGTATAATATTGCATTGATTGGGATCCAGGCTAAGAGACACGCAATTCATCATCACCATGTAGTTGGACCCAACATGCTGGCCAGGCCCCTATAGCGGGGGGACGTGAAGTTGGTCCTTCAGAGCCTCCTGATTGTGCTGGGAGGGGCCAGGCTGTAGGCTGTAGGCTTGGCATCAGACCCCTAGACACACACGCTGCTTGGTGGCGAAGAGGTGGGAAGGAGGGAGAGCCAGGGTTTCACAGCCGCTGAGGAGTCCGGCTTTGCCTGTGGCTTGGCATGTTCTCCACTTTCTCTTCATTTGATGAAACATTAGTTCTCAAATTAGGGAAGTCCTGGAGTGAAGGAAAGGGAAAGGAAACCCAATTTTCTAGGGACTTGTTGGGGTCAGACATGAGAGGAAGGATGACTGTGGGTGTGTTCACAGGGAGCTTGAATTCCTGATTGGCCAAGTGAAAAAAAATAGGTTTTGGTTGCTTGGGGACAAAGTCCAACACCCACTGCAGTCTCTGCTACACTGTGATAACCTGACCCCTTCTTCTGTAGATGGTCTCCACGTCTCCACTGAAGTACTGCTTACAAGTTAATAGATGAGGTTGTGAGGTGAAAGATGATGATCATTTGGGTGATTACGGGATATGATTGTTCAATACCTGTTCACACATTTACATACACAAGTGAAAATACAGATACATGCAAATACAGATGAAAGACTGAGTCATAGTTTAATATTTCAAGCTTCTGCCATATAGACAGGAAGAATCCACTAAGATATAGTTTGCTCATCAACAACTAGAGTAGCCTAGGAGAACAGCCCTGAGTCATCTTAGGGTTAATGTGACTGGGGCTGGCATGATGCTGTCGTCCTTTACAGATTCTGGAGAATCCCTTAGAATCTGTTCTTATCCTTTCCAGTACATCATCTGGCTGCCAGTCCATAATCTACATACCGCAGGACGTTGTCAGAGCCAAGGAGATCATCGCCCAGATCAACACCCTGAAAACCCAAGTCAGCTACTATGCAGAGCGGCTGTCAAGGGCAGCCAAGGACAGGTCTGCCACTGGCCTTGAGAGGACACTCGCCATCTTGGCAGACAAGGTAGGAGGGGTGCCCTGCTGCATGTGGGCTGGGGAGTTTCCTTGGGTTTCTGGGGGCCGCCGGGCAGCCCAGGTGTGCCTAAGGTGGTCCACAAAGAGCGTGACATTGGGAAGACTTTGAAGGTCTACCTGAGGTCCATTTCCCACAAAAACCAGGGCGGTTTCGTGATTCGTCCACAGAGCCGGACAGACAAAGGGCAGAGCCCAGGGCTCATGACTCTTAGGTGCAGCCTCAGGCACGTGTGCCCTTCAGTAAGTCTGTGGGGCTCATTTTGTTGAGGCTAATACAGTTCCACCTCTTTCTCAGTAACAGCCTAACCAGCACTTTTTTTTTTTTTTGCCACATTTCTATTGTAGTTGAATTTGAAAACAGAAACTGAGCTATTATACAGACATAAGATAAGAACAATATAATTTTATTGGCTTACATACAGTCAGTACACCAGCTTCTACTTAGCCATAACTTGATCCTGATTTAAAAATATGTAAGTATTAATCCCAACTGAGGAAGTGGCTATTATCAGACCCTTTTGATGGATGATGCTTTTTCCCATCACTCAGTCTCCCTCTCAGTGCGCACACACACACACACAGTCACACACAAACACACACAGATTCTGACTGCACCTCTGCACTCACACTCACTGTGCTATTGAACTGCTTTTCCTGATCAGAATGTGTAATACCCTTCACGTGTGTTCACACAGCATAAAGAGTGTGAGGTGGGGATTAGATCCACTGGAAAAGAAAGATGTAGTTGTCAGCAGTAACATTATGAACCACAGAACCCGTGATGCGTGCAGAATTCTCCTAAACCAGACATGTTGTGCCAGGAGGCCAGCTACCCAGACCCAGAACTTGATGTATTAGATGCTGAGGAACGAAAGATAAGACTTCCACAATTGAACCAAAGTAAGACCTGACCCCTGGACACTTGTTCGCTGGAAGGTGGAGGACAGACCAGGAAGTCTGTCAAGGCTGGGGCAGTGGGCTGTCTCTGCAGGCCCCTCCCCTAGCAATCACAGGTCAGAGGCAGGCAGGGATCAGAGAATGTCAGAGATTTCTCACCCTCTTTTCCTCTTGCTTGGTGGGAAATTCTTGTTAAGATTCAGCCCCAGCGGGCCACAGGGCCGTCTTCGTATTCAGACATCTTGAGGGATGTAGCCCTTCAGTTGCTTTGCACTGTGGAGAAAGGCAGAGGGGTGCAGTACTGGGCTTTAAGCCCATTCTCCATTTCTCAGATAAGGCAGGGGCCTCCCCAACCCCTGGCCTGGGCTCAGCAGCCTTGGTTTGTGTGCACCTGCAGACACGGCAGCTGGTCACGGTCTGCGACTGCAAGCTCCTGGCCAACTCCATCCATGGGCTGAACGCCGCGCGGCCTGACTACATTGCCTCCAAGGCTTCTCCCACTTCGACTGAGGAGGAGCAGGTGATGCTTAGAAATGACCAGGACACCCTCATGGCCCGGTGGACAGGGAGAAACAGCCGATCTTCCCTGCAGGTGGACTGGCACGAGGAGGAGTGGGTGAGTCTGCTGCCGTGGCTGTCATCCCACTGCTGGACTTGGGCCGAAAACCGCAAAGCCTGTTGCCAGTCTCTGTCCCTCCGAAGTGCCTCAAGGTTTGACTGCTGGGAACGAGCTCCAGGTTTCCTTCCTGGATGGCTCCTTGGCTCCTGATGCAGGGAGGGAGACTATTTTGGAAACCTGGTGTCCAGATAGGGGTAGAGCTGTGCTGGGGCCTGGGCCAGCCTCAGGCCTGGATGAAGAGGAAGAGAAGTGGGTTGTCCTCCCCTGTTGGAGGTCTCTCCTTCCCCTGCCGCCTGTGCCTTCTGTGGCCCTGGGATGCTTGAGACCAGTCAGGCCTCTCCTACTTCCTCAGTGCTCTGTTTGCTGTTAGATTTTCCAGGGCTATGTGTATGTGGGGATGTGGGAGCTCTGGTGCTGGGGCAAGTAGTTGTGGATTTTGGAGCGGCCGCCCTGACATTGCATCACATTATTGTTCCTCAGAGAATTGGCGCCGGGAGCAGGATCTGTGTTTCTTGAGGGAGTGACATATTGTACAACTTGTTTTTGCCATTGATTGAGACTACCGCTTAGAGGCATTGTTCTGCAAGCCCTGAACTATTAGTCAGCAGCAAAGTAGCATCCTATATGCTGTGTGTGTTTCTGCACATCACTCCCAGACCTCCCTCACCTCCTCCCCACCTCCTCTATCCAAATTTCCGTTCCCTTCCATCCAAAGGAGACCTCCATCTTGTCTGTGTGTGACGGTTGTAGGAAGTCTTCAGTGGCAGGAGGAGGAGATGGGACAGTGCCCTGTGGCCCTTCAGGCAGCACTGGAGGGCCACCTGGCCTCCAGAAGAGTTACTAGCAAACCTTGCCCAAACTCTAGAAACAATGGCCACAGGAGATCGATACATCATTGAAAAGCAAATGCAACTTTAATGGGGAATTAGGAATCATCTTTATATTTCTAAACTTTGAGGTATTTTAACAAGTGTGGAAGCCCAGGGCAGGGGATCGGTGGAGGGCGATTTGGTTTGTGTTCTGTTTGTGTTTCTGTTCGGGAGAGCTGACCCACACGGGCCCCTTTGATTTGGAAGGAGAAAGTGTGGCTGAACGTGGACAAGAGCCTAGAATGCATCATTCAGCGTGTGGACAAGCTGCTGCAGAGGGAGCGGCTGCACGGCGAGGGCTGTGAGGACGTCTTCCCCTGTGCAGGCAGCTGCACCAGCAAGAAAGGTAACCCGGACAGCCACGCCTACTGGATCAGACCAGAAGACCCCTTCTGTGATGTCCCCTCCTCACCATGCCCCTCCACCATGCCCTCCGCTGCATGCCATCCTCATCTGACCACACGTGCGTATGCATCCATGCTTCCCACACGCTGCCTCCACTTCACCTTGTGTTGCTTCCGTTTGTCTGTGTCTCTGATCCATGCACTCCTCCCCCACGCAGACTGCAGGGAGGGCCGCCAGGTGGAGCGGGGGCGTCCCAGTGCACGGAGCAGCGGGCGGTGAGAGCGGAGTCTCCGGTTGCCTTTCCATGTAACTGGAGCCCATGTGTGATTCTGCATCTCTGCCAGTCAGAATCTCAGGGTCCTCTTGGGATACACCATCCTGGCTCTAAGGGTTGGGCTCCTGGGCTTTTCAGGTTTGTAAAGCAGTCTGAGAACCTGAAGGAGGCCAGGATGCAGACGCCTTTCTGATGTGATTGTCTATGGCATTAGGAATTGGTTGAGTGAAAGGGGAAAGGGGAATTGTGCAGGGACACAGCTGGATGAGAGAGATTGGCAGGTCCAGTGGACGCGTCTGAAAGCTGGTTGGCATTGGCTGGGCACTCTCTGACGCAGCAGAGGCATGTTGCCTTGGGGCTTGGTAACAGAGAGTGGGCCCCTGTTCCTGGGCTTCTTGTGGTCCGAGTCGAGTGGTTTGGTAGGACATTGGCATGAAGCAGCACGCTTCACAACAGTCTCCTGTCCCCAGAGACACGGCACGCCAGGACACTGTCCTGCAGAGAGCCTTAAAGCTGGGAAACGGTCCCTGCAACTGAGGTGCCTCCCGTCTTTTCCTGTAAGAGCCGGAGAGTTACAAGCTAGGCGGCTGAGACTTGCCCACAGACCTAGCTTCTGCCTCCTTTTTGTTCTCCTGCGGGAGTTTTAAGCCATAGTAGGAAAGGCCCAGATGTGCTGGGATTAGGCTTCCTGTGATGAGGGCTTTTATATTCTGAATTGGGGAACTTCCATTCAAGGTGTCAGCGTGCTTCTTGGTCAGAGCCTCTGGGCAAATCCCCCTTCGGGTTGTCAGACGCCCTTTGCCTATTTACTCCGCCTGCAGTCTGTTTCCAGGGCACTGTCTCACTTGAGCCTCTGTCTCGACCGTTGTCCCGTCACCCATCTCTCCATCTCTGGGGGTTTGTAGTTTCACTTCCCCACACCTGTGATTGGTTCATGGAACTATTTTATCTTTATTCATGTTCTCTTTTTTATGTAAATCGTGTTCCTTTTGAAAACTTTCTGAAAGTTCATTGTTTATTTCTTTCCACTTTATTATCTTGTGATTTTAAATTTTTCTACAGATAACGAAAAGAGTAATTTATTGGCTGTTTTAAATGTGGGAGCTAGTTTATTTCATCAGATGGGATTATATCCCTAACTTAAGTGTCATTTTTTTTCTAGGCACATCCTGTATTGTTTAAATATAGATACATTTTTATTCAGTTTTAAAGTTATTTAAATGAGCATTTATGCTATTTAGGGTTTGGCTTGCGTGTGCCATAAAAATCAGCTGTTATAATAATGGGAATGTGAAGCTTACTTACATTTGAGAGAGTCTAACTCTGCTGATCAGTACTCAAAGAAATGTATGAAACCATATGCCACCAAATTATCTGTGGATGGTCCTTAATTTAAACATTTTTAGCACAGCCAGGAAGCTGTTCAGTCCTCAGTGTAAGCAGGAGGATCAGAAATAAGCAGTCTGTGAGGTATTTATTTCGGTGAGTCTTGTCCACAGTGCCACGGCTTGGCTCTGTCGTGGCTTTTTATATCATTCCAAGTTACTGGAGCCATTGTTTTGGCTTAATGAGCAGGTGTGTTCACACCAACATATTTATTGTATGAAAATAACTCTGTACTGCTCTGAAAGGCATCATCACTTTTCATTCCAGTGCTATGCCCTGTCCTAGGTCCTTGGTTTTTATTTTTCACCAGGGAGCTGCCCTGCCTCAGAGCTGCCCTGCCCTGATCAGAGAGCCCTGTCTGGCAGGTGAGGGTCACCCAGGGCCAAGGCTTTGTGGGGGACCCACTGACAAGTATCTGCCAGCCAAAACCACAGAGGCTCCTCAAACTTCCCTTCTTCTCATCTCTCCAAAAGTCTCCCGTGCCCCTCTACCCCCACCTGCCAAGGTGTGCCACTGTTGCCCCACTAGGATTTAGTGGCTTCCACTGCCTTCCTCCTGTACACTCTGTCACTCTCCTCATACCCAAAGAGACCCTTAGACCAAGTTTTTCTTAGTCTGGGGTCTGTGGGTACCCACAGGTTCTTGTACCCCTGAGATTATGTGCTGGAATCTGCGTGTGTATAGAGAGGAAGTCCAGAGTGGTCATCTGTTCCCAACTGCATGACCCAAGGCAAGTTACAAACCATTATTCCAGGAGTACCAGGGAAGACCCCCTCTTTCTCCCCTTTGATTGAAAGATGAATTTAGCAAATCGGGTTTAATCCCTGATGCCTTCACAGCAACGGTCCCAACCCAGCTGTTGGGGAACAGGCTCCTAGACCTTCCTCCTCATTCATGAACTCAGAATCCTAGAAGATGGGTTATGGGGAGGCAAAAATCTGTATTTTTTCAAGGCCTCGCATAACCTGATGAGCAGATCAATATGTAAGAGCCACAGTTCCGAATCACTGTGGGTTTCTACCTTTGTTAGCAACATGGTCTCAAGGTATCTGGGTTAACGAAGAGGTTGAACTCTTGACCTTACAGATGCCTTTGTATTCTCTTTCCCCTTTGCCAGTTTGAAAAGTCACTTCCAAAGACGATGAGAGAGGAAGGATGCTTTGCCCTTCTTTACAACCTAGGTTGTAAAATCCCCATCAAGCTGTTCTGGCTGTTCTTCGGGATCCGGGATCCGAGGCCACCTCATTTCCGCATCCTGAAGACATTCTTTGAACTGAAATGCTCAGACATAAATTAACATATATGTTTTCTCCCATGATTCCTTTTCAAACTCGTTTTCTCTTAGATGGTGCACCCAGTTAACTGGAAAGTTTAGTTTTTAAGGGAAATATGAAATTGAAATAAGGTTAAATGGAATCAAAATTGGTATTCTTTGAGGACCTGAAGGGACATTCTAATTGGAGACTACCCCTAAATCACAAAACTTAGCATTTGGTTTAAATGTGGAAGATTGGCATCGTTGTTTTTTTTTTTGGTATACTGGTTTCATTCCTGGATCTTAACACTTTGGATCTCAGCAGTCAATCCTGAGCCCAGGCTTCCCCGGTGAATCAGAGCAGTGGGCCTGACCGGGGAACGCTCCGTGTGCTGGTCAGTCTCTCTCCTTACAAGTTGCTTCCAGATGCCGCAAGCCAACGCAGGGCTCCGCCACTACAATGTGATTTATGTGGGTGCTGTTTCCTGCGGCATTTATCACATTGTAATAAGCTGGATCACACATCCCGAAGAGCATTGTATGTTGAAGTATTGGCAACATGAATGTTTAAGCCGGGGAATCTCATTGTTTACCACTGAGAGGGCTTGCTGCCGGAGTACTTTGGTGAGCCTTCTTGGGGAAGAAGGCAGCCAGGCACCAAGACCTCTTCTCTGTTTGTTAGCCACGTTACTGCAAGCTGCTGACGCAGCTGCTCTGAGATTGAGTTGCTTGGTTTGAACTGTGTGCTGCTCCTTAATCATCCATGTCGCCCTCCATTTCTGTGCAGATTGCAGCCCCCCTCCTGAAGAGTCCAGCCCAGGTACGTGGTTTCCGTTCAAGGCTCCTGCTGACGCCCTCTTACTTAACACTCAGGTAGTGTTTTGTAGCTAAATTACCAAAGATTGCCTTATGATCCCAGAGTCGGGAAAGTATTCCAGGACCACCTTCGTTGTGAGGCATGAAACACTTTTCGCAGGTTTGGTGAGGGACCAGCTGAGCAGAGGAAATTGTGACCTGAGGCAGACTACCACATGTCTTTGTTTTACTCTTACATTCTAAAGTCTTTTCAGATGAGCGCGTTGGGCTACCTGACGTGGGTGACCTGAGGTAGGGAGGTACACATTTTGGACTTTCTGGGTGCAGTTTTAGAATTCTTACCAGACATCGCTATGGGCCTCAGTTGGAGTTAGTGCCAGAAATGTAATCTCTTTGCTGCATTTGCATGTAGAAACCAATGTTTATGGTTCTAGTTCAGGGGTTGGCAAGCTACAGCACTGAGCTAAATCTTGTCCACAGCCTGCTCTTATAAATAATGTTTTGTTGGAAACCAACCTTGCCCACTTGTTCATGGATTGTCTACAGCTGCTTTTGTGCAGCAGTGCCAGAGTTCATTGCAGCAGAGAACCCGTGGCCTTCAAAGCCTAAAATATTTACTGTCTAGCTCTTTACAGAAAATGTGTGCTCGGCCGGGCACAGTGGCTCCCGCCTGTAATCCCAGCACTTTGGGAGGCCGAGGCGGGCGGATCACGAGGTCAGGAGATCGAGACCGTCCTGGCTAACAATGTGAGACCTCGTCTCTACTAAAAATACAAAAAAAAAAAGGAGCCGGGCGTGGTGGCGGGCGCCTATAGTCCCAGCTACTCGGGAGGCTGAGGCAGGAGAATGGCATGAACCCGGGAGGCAGAGCTTGCAGTCAGCCGAGATCGCACCACTGCACTCCAGCCTGGGTGACAGAGCAAGGCTCCATCTCAAAAAAAATAAAAAAAGAAAAAAAAGAAAAAGAAAATGTGTGCTGACCCCTGATCTAGTTCATATTGAGTTTCCTGGGTATTGCTTGTGGTTTTGAGCATGAGTCCCCCAAATAATAAATATGATTTGATGTTCTTTTTCTTACATTCCAAAAATCAGCTGCATGGTCAGTCTATCGCTTGCGTATTTCTGACTGGTTATACACGTAAGAGAGCAGGATACTTTGTTGATTTCTAGAATGTAACGAGTCCATGACTGTGGGATTTACCAGGCTAACGGCTATTCCTGTGCATTGCTAGTGAAGCCTGTCCACCCATACAGCCCCGTGAGTCAGCGTAGTGTGGTGGCTCCTGGCAGCAACCCCAGGACGCTCTTAGAAGTTAGCCCGTTGGCGGGTTAATCTGATTGGACACCTCATAGGGACTCTCCTAGTTTGCTTTCAGCCCCTTCATAGTTTCTCTTTCCCCAAAAGTCAGTGTCACCTTGAGCAGGCCTTGGGCCCCACCCCCTTGGACCCTGAAGGTTATTGAGGCCTTGGTAGATGTACGAATAGTTGGCCTTGGTCTCCTCCTCCATGTCCTCCCCTGGGCCCATGCCTCAGCTGACCTCCATGGCAGGCCAGTGCCTTCAGACCGAGCTGTCGCCTGAGCCTCAGTGGTGCTGAAGCCTGGGGCCGTACCCAGCCGTTAGGGCCAGGAGAGGGCTGGTGGCGTGTGCATCTGCTCCCACAGAAGCTCGGGGGTCTTCTCAATTCTGGGCTTCTGAGGGTTGCAGAACTAATGGGAAGTCTCGTGGGTCCCCGGGCAGCCCACGGACAATGCCTGGCCTGTAGAGCCCTCCTGGTTGTGCGTCAGCTGGGACATTCCCAGAAGCACTGATGGCTTTTTCACAGTTGATGCTGATGGACTAAGATGGTCCCTGCAAGGAGTTCTTTTGGCTTTTCCTGGAGAACTGCATTTAATCTGGGCTAAAAATATACACACTTACAAAGGCACACACACTCTCCCTTTCTCCCTCCCCTACTAATGAGGGGAAAATGCAGAAGCAAAGTCCGGATTTGAAAGTGCTCTTCAAAGTTACCTAAGTTAGTATGGCCCATGGATTCACTACCGGTCTGCAAACATTACGGGTTAGGAACTAAATAAGGAGCTTTCTACAAAAACACGGGTCGGCGACGTCACTCAGGACATTGTTTCATTGAGCTGATGTTTTTTCATAACTCGGCTTTCTAGTGAAGGAAGCAGAGTATAAACCCTTCAGCGATCCCGGTGACCCAGGTGCCTTTACGTCACTAGATCCTGGGTAGAAATCATGTTACTGCCCGAGAAACTCATTTTGGTTGAAGTTTTAAAAAATTGTTCCAGACATGTCTGAGCCCTTCTCTGGGCAGATAACCACACTCACCTTCTACCAAGTTCCATATCTCCTCTTTTCCAGGACACACGTCTTAGTGCTTTTTAGCCATTCTTTCTATACTACAATTTTTTTTCCCCATTTTTTTCCTAATATAGCAAAGCAATCGTTCTCATGGGAATTTAGTTGAAAGGGAAATAGGCAAAGTGAAAAAGTTGTAAGACCGGTTGTATAGTTTGATCATTTTCAGATTAAAATAATCATGATTTTCACGATATGCATGATAGGTAGAAGAGCAAAGTAAAACTGGCAACATTTTCTTTAAGAGCATGTACTTCTTGGAGAAGGATAGTCTACTGCCTACCTTTCCCCAGACTGTTTGGCTAGAAAAACCTGTTTGCCGTTGGCATTTTTGATAGGCACTTCATGTAATCGGCATACATTCAACAGAATTCTTCAAAGAAACAAAAACATGGTCTCTGAGAACTTCAGTGGAGGAAAGAGACTCGGATATTATCTAGTGCCTCTCATTTTATGAAAAAGGTCCCACGTGGCTGAGGGGTCAAGGGCCTGGCCTGTGGTCACCTCTGCTCAGCAGTGGCCGGGGCCGGGACTCAACATTTTCAACCTCTCAGTTCAGTGTTCTTCGTCACTGGGGTTCCTTTGCTAAGACCTGTCTGCTGTGGACTTTCTAAATTTAAGCCTGCTTTTTCCGTTACAGATACAAACGCTGTCCACAAACAGTTAGTGTGCCTGCATGTGCAATTAGGCCACCTCCAACTTTTGAGCTGCTACAGATACTTAAACATTTCCATTAACCAAACACTGAGTGTAGGGAATTCTTAGGCATGTTTCAATATTTCTTTAGGTTGGTTTCTCAGTGACGTGCTAACTGTCCAGCTTGAGAGGACAGGGCCAAGCCGCCCTTCTCTCGGTCTCTGAGATTCTGTTTATCTGAGACAGAGGTTACCCTCTGGCAGCCGCACAGCTCCCACGGCCCGGGGCCTTCCCTGAGTGCCGTGCCGGGACATGGCCTGGTGCATTCTGTGGCTCGAACCCTCACCCTAAGGGGCCTGCACTGCCCGGGCTTCACTCCACAACTTCTCACCATGTTTGGTGTGGTGGATTCACCAAGTGGTGATGGCCAGATGCCTATTTCTGGTCTTAGTGACCTGTTACAAATAGAACCTTAATGAGGGCCTGTCTTCCCTTTTAAATGTCTTCTAAATAGGAAGGAAAAAAAGAGTCAAAACCCAAAATATCTTTCACCCTGTTTTTCTCCCTTGAGGCTCTATTTTTAAAAAGTTGTTTTGGTATAGGGTCAAAGTTTCCATATATTCCTAAAAGAAAACTGAGCTAGAAATAGTACTGGGGAAGGAAGGTGGGGGTGGGGAAGGAAGTGAGTGCAAGGTGGGGCCGTTCTGAGGGCTGAAAGCTCTGGAGCTGTGAGGAATGGTCCCCCTCCAGGTGTGCAGGGTGAGAATTGAACACAGTTGCATACAAGGCTTGGCAAGGGCAGAGGAGTCTCTGACTTAACTTCATACCCAGGTCAAGAGAAGGGGGAGCACAGAGAACCTTTCTGGGGTCCGTCCTCTTCGCGTGGAGGTGCTACCGTGCGTGGAAGGGGATGAGCCTCTGCGGACAGAGCATTTTCTGGCCTCGTCATGACTTGCAGAAGTTTTTTTGTTGTTCTCCCCCAAAGGCATTGTCTGAAGTATTTCTGTCTAGGGTCCCCAACAGGTTCAGGAGACCAGGCATGTGTTGGAGGTACCGGAGTAGAACTGATGTTTGAGGTTGCTGGAAAGAGCTGGGGCTCGAGGGCTAGGGACTGGGTTGGTTCTAGACAGAGCTAGAAGATAGGGTGGAGATGGGCGAGTGGGAGGACTGCAGTGGTTAGGGGCCAGGTGACTTGTTAAATTGCCAGAACCTAATTCTTCAAATACATCTCTCTCATTGTGATGACCCCCTCGCTTGTGCCGCAGGTGAATGGAGTGAGGCCCTTTACCCGCTGCTGACCACTCTCACCGACTGCGTGGCCATGATGAGTGACAAGGCCAAGAAGGCCATGGTATTCCTGCTCATGCAGGACAGCGCGCCCACCATAGCCACCTACCTGAGCCTGCAGTACCGCCGTGACGTGGTCTTCTGCCAGACGGTAGGCCCCGGGAGCACCCCGAGGGAGGCAGCGGGCACCTCCCAGCTCGGAAAAGACAGGCTTAGGAAGCCCTTGCCTCTCACTTCACTTGTAAAGTGAGCACGCTAACCCTAACCCTAACCCTAACCCTAACTTTGCACCTGCAAAGTCTGCTGATTCTGTACCCAGGAGGTAGTGAGGGCGTGGGTGGCGCAAGCCTCTTTGCTATGTTTGTTTTTTTTTTTTAGCTGCACAGGAGTTGAGTGAGGGCAACAACACAGGTATTTGCGGTCAGTGCAGACATTGCTGATATAACAGTAGGTGCCTTAGGTCTGCAGCTTGTTGCAGGACTCTCTTATTGTTGAGAGAAGTGAAGCCTTGAAATGAACGTAACAAGTTTAATAGTTGCCAGTAACCAAATTAGTAAAGTGAACAGTGCTTTGGGGTTGGGCTGGTTCTCTCCGAGTTCCCTCACCCATCCTGGAGAGTCCTGTTTCATTCCACAGAAAATCTCCCACTGAGGAAACTTTTGAGTGACCATGTTGTCTCTCACTTCTGTTTTTTGCTGGGGCTGAGTTTCCAGCCAGGGTGGCGTGGCTCTATGAGCAGATAGACCCTTTCACTGTGAGTAATTAATTATGGGCTTCCAGAAGGTTCCAGCCTAGGAATAATGCCAGGTACAGGTCAGGTCAGAAGCCGGGCCAAAACCAAACCTACGTTGTGAGTGACAGGAATAGCAAGCCCACTGTTGGGCGTCTTCCCATGGCCAGGGCGTGCCCCACCTGGGCTTCTTGAGGGACAGGAGGTGCTGCTGAAGCCCCTTTGAGTAGTGGCAACAGGGGAAGGGGGCGGTGGGGGGCTGGGCATGATCTGACTGCCATTTGGTGGGCAGGCATGTGACCCTGAACCGCTTCACCCCACGCCCCCACAGCTGACTGCCCTCATCTGCGGCTTCATCATTAAGCTGAGGAACTGCCTGCATGACGACGGCTTCCTGCGCCAGCTCTACACCATCGGGCTGCTGGCCCAGTTCGAGAGCCTGCTGAGCACCTACGGTGAGGCGCCCCGGGCCAGGATCGGGAGCCCTACTTGCGTGTGTGGTTTCCATCTTTTCTGGCTAGGTATTTTTCTCACTGTACCAGTAATGCGTGCTGATTAGAATAAATCCAAAATACATAACAGCAGACCAGATGGCAGTCCTGGCAGTTACACAGGCACACGCCTTGGTTTGTTGTTGTTTCTGGTTGAGGATGGATGTTCATCACTTAACCAGTAACTTCCTGTTGGACTTCGGGTTGTTCCTGAAACACCAGTGCAGCAGTGGCCTCTGTGCACGAGACACTTGTGGGCCTGTTTCTACGGCTCCTGAATGACTAGAAGGAGAGTTACTGGGTCAGAGGGTAGGAATATTTTTAAATTTAATAGATATTTCCAAGTTGCTTTCCAAAAAGGCTCTCTTCTTCCTACCCTTGTTTATTATTTATTTCTTCTGAGAAGGTGATAGAAAGCATTTGTTAATCTTTGGAAACTGAGGACATCGAATAGATATCAAGCCCTGTGTAACGGGAGGGTCTGGCCTCAGCAAAGCTGCTTTAGCATCTCTCATTTCGTGTTTCAAGAGCTGGCTTTGCTTTCTGAGTTTATGTATTTGTTTCCCTCCCTGCTATCCTGCGCTTGCCCAAGAAAGAACGGGAAAGGATGGCGCGTGTTTCCACCGGCTGCATGTTCTGATGTGGCTGTGGGATTTCAGAGGCATTGTTGACTGACAGAGGAGTGGGTTGCAGGGGAAGAGGCTCAGAAACTCCCCCTCCCCCAGAGCCACACCTGCACCACTCCTGTCACAGCCAGGCCCAAGCTCGGCTGCCTTCTGCTGAGACTGGGGAGAGCGGCAGGGCCCTCTGCCTGACAGCCCCGCCCCTCTCTCGTGTCCAGGGGAGGAGCTGGCAATGCTGGAGGACATGAGCCTTGGGATCATGGACTTGAGGAACGTGACCTTCAAAGTCACTCAGGCCACTTCCAGCGCCTCCGCAGACATGCTGCCCGTCATCACAGGAAATCGGTAGAGTGTTGGTTTAAAATTCTCTGAGCCAGAGAGCAGTGTTCGTATTTGTTTATTTCAGGGAATCTACTCTTCCTTCTGAATTTTTTATCCTATTTCATTTTGTTAAATGCTCTGATTACAGCCCCTAGGTTAGTACCACTCCCTTAAAGGTCTGTGGTTGGCCGTTTGGCCATCACTGAGCCAGAGGGCCAGCCTGGGCACTGCCGTCTGCTCGGTGGCCCTCTGGCCTCACACTGCTCTCCCTCTCTCCGCCTTTCTCCAGCGACGGGTTTAACGTGCGGGTCCCTCTGCCGGGTCCACTGTTTGACGCCCTGCCCCGGGAGATCCAGAGCGGCATGCTGCTGCGAGTGCAACCCGTCCTCTTCAATGTGGGCATCAATGAGCAACAGACACTGGCCGAGAGGTGTGTGCCGGCCCTTCGGGGCTGCGGGAGTGCGGCGGCCTTGGAGATGACACAGAAAACATACTTACCACTCTTCAGGCTCCAAGTGCTGGACAGACGTCGTTATCTTTCCCTCCTTTGGCCAACATTTTCGTCATGGCCGTGCACCTCACTGTCTTTGGTGCTAGGGACACAGGGTGACCCAAAGGTGGTCTCTGTCCTCAGAGACTCAGCAGGTGGGAGAGAGAGACATGGATGCAACGATGAAGACAGATACAGGGCATTGTGGGATCCCGAGTAGGGCACCCAGCAAGGTCTAAGGGGGTCTGTAGAGGCTTCTTGGAGTTGCAGGGGATGAGGCTTTGAAGTGTGAGTAGGAGTTGGATGATTAGGTGGAGGGGAGACGTGTCAGATTAAGAAGACTGAGGAAAGGTCTGGTGGGGAGAAACAGCATGTAGTTCAGGGGCAACAGGTTCCAGGCAGGGATTGGCAGGTAGGGGTAGACAGGCTCTGTGTGCCAGGCTGACACTCATGCCTGAACCTAAAGGCTTACACCTTGTAAACTGCCCTCCAGGGTCACTTGCCACTCCGTGGAGGGGAGTTGTGTGTGCCTGTGTGTGCACATGTGCCTGTGTGTGCACATGTGTGTGAGGAGATAGGGTAGATGGGGTATATGTACCCTGTACTGGCCTTCCACTACATGAGAATGAGTCCTGTGTTGTCAGTGATCTTCATGTGATGTGTGTAGACTAGTCTAAACAGATATCTTCAAGTACTTGCTGTGAAGGAAATTTGGTTTCCAGAACAGTATGCCATGTTGCTGCTGGGCCTCCTCATGTCCAGCCCCAGTGGTTGATGTCCATTGACGCCCAGGTGTAGGGTCACCCCAACTTAGGAAATACGGTGTTGTTGCTGGGAGACAATGAAGAACTTTCAGTGGGCCAGGACGCAATCCGATTTACATTTCAAGTAGGTTGTTTCACTGGCACGTGCTGGGAGGAGATAAAGGGGACAGGTGTGAGGAGGAAACTGCTGGGAGGAGTCCAGGCCAGAGGTGGGAACCTGGATCAGGGCCGGGGGAGTGTTGGTGTTCTGCAGAGGGGTAGGCTGGGGAACTGTTTAAGTGGTCAGTGGAAGGGTTTAGTCTTTAGTGGGGCTGGGGCTGAGCGGGAGGAGAGTACACCAGACAGACCCACCCACTGAGCTCATAAACTGGCAGGAGAGTCGTGTCCAGAGGCAGGTGGTGAGCTGGGTTTGGGCTGAGGGCACCAGCCCAGGAAGCAAAGCCCCAAAGGTGTGAGCAGAGCTGGAGGCGCCTATGCCAGGGAGAGGCACAGCCTCACTGGAGCCCCAGCAGGGAGGTGGCCCAGGGAAGGGAGAAGGATGGTGCCTGCATCCGGTAGCTGCGGATCCCACGGGCTTGCAGGAGCAGTTTCTGGAGAGGACTGAGCCAGGGCCAGGTGCATTGAGTAGAGGGGAGGGTGGAGGATGCAACGCTGAGGACAGAGAGGACTTGGGAAGAGCAGGTTCTTGGCTTTGTTCCTTTATTGGCCCTGCAGCCACTGGTGAGCTGGGCTTGTTTATAAGCTGAGGGGAGAGCCCTCAGAGGGGAGACCACAGGCCCAGGGTCAGGGATGGCCCCCAAGGGAGCAGGTGCCTAGAGAAAAGGCCATTGTGGGCACCGGGGTGGATGGGCTGGGACTCGTAGGAGGGAGTCGTGCCCTCTGAGGGATGCTCTAGGGCCGCAAAGAAACTGATGCTCAGAAGGCCCCTCAGCAGGGACTTGTGGGACTGCACTGGGGCCCAGGACCTGGACTTCAGAGCCTGCATTTTCTAATGACCACCTTGTGCCTTGTTTGCAGGTGGCATTTTATGGCCTTGTTTCTTAGGCATTTGGCACATGCTCCTTGCAGCACACGGAGTGTAATCGGGGTGAACCTGCATGATGAGGAAAGGGCAAGGGCTTCATGGTCAGTCCTGGAGGAGCTGGCAGTCAGGCATGTGCATTCTGCACACACAGAGTGACTTCAGATTGGAGTACAGGGCTGCAGCCTCACCTCCCAGCGTACCTCACTGCCGTCCCCCCTCCTAAGTGCCTCAGGTGTGCCGCACAGGGCCTGTACCAGATCATGTTCTGATCATCTCTCGGCACGCCTGTAACAGTGATACATGATTCCTGCCAATGCAATGCATTTAAATGATCAGCAACACTGAAGAGATGCCTTTCTGCTCGGAAGAAGGAAAGTGGCTTAGAATTTAGATATGCATAGGAACTGTTTGAGAGAATCAGCATAGTTAGTTTCCATGCAGTTGTGTTCGTGTTGGAAGAAAGTGACATTACCCAACTAATGGCATCCCCTATAATCTCCCAAGGTTTGGTGATACGTCTTTACAAGAAGTCATCAACGTGGAGAGTTTGGTGCGGTTAAATTCCTACTTTGAGCAGTTTAAGGAAGTTTTGCCTGAGGATTGTAAGTATTTCTTCAGTCACGGTAGGTTTCACTTACTCGTCTTTTTATCAGTTTAGATGTCTGAGCTCTGGCTTGCCCTGCCTCTATTAGTTCATGTTCCTTCTCTCCCTAAACACACACATGCAGAGAGAGAGAGAGAGAGAAAGAGAGAGAGAGAGAGAGAGAGAGAGAGAGAGAAGCTTCCCTTGGCCGCGGCCCTCATCCATCTCTTTGCTGTTAATTCTCTACTAGCCTGTGAGACATGGCTCCTTCCCACGCTGTCGTAGTCACTGACACTCGATGCGTTTGGTGGCACGCATTGTGTACCTGCTGGTAGGGCTTGGGGGAATCCCAGAGGCAGGACCCACCCTCGGCCAGGTGAGCGGCCCACACACCTCCCTTTGTGGTGCTTAGAGAGGAAGATGCGGGGCCAACATTGCTGGGTGTTTGGGAGCAAGATGGCCCCATCTCGGCGTCTCCTGGAGGCCGTGGAGATGCTGACAGTCATCTCTCTGCGTGTCCTCCAGTGAAGATGCTGCAGCTAGGGCTCTGCGGCCACAGAACTCAGGGAGGAACCGAGGGCTGCACAGCACTGCCTACGAGTAGAATTCCCTCTTGAATTCAACCCAGTGAATATTCCCTGCAGACCTGCTGAGTGTAAAGTGCTAGAGGATCTGATGGCAAATGAGGGGTGGACCCTGCCTTGGAAGGAGAGCTGGTCCCAGAGTGCCGGCCCCTCTCTGCAGGCACTGCCACAGTCACTAGGGGGCGCCACACAGCAGAAGGTGTCATCCCCACTGCCTTACACGAATGTCCTCTGCTGGGGGTTTCCAAAGAGGGAACCCACGTCGGCTGGGCTTTAAATTGGGCAGGCTTCATCTGCAGCCTTTTGGACGGTATGGTAGACCTTAGAGTTTAGAGATAGTCAAACGGTACTGCTGGTGAACCTTCACAGGTCACGGGTGCGCCAGGCACTGGGCTGGGCTCTACATACATTTACTCGCCGAATCCATAGCAGCCCATGGGTCGGTAATAGGATCCATGTCCAGATGAAGAAAGGGGCGCCTGGCTCTGAAGCCCGTGTGCTTGGATTGTGGCCGAAGGCGTCCTGCTAGGAGACACTGACACAGAACACTCGGGGCCAGGCCAGGAAGTTGTGGCTGCAGCAGGGAAGCAGTGGGAAAAAAGCTGCCTCTTCACAGATTCATCTAGCAAGAGCGTGTGGCGGGGCCGGAAGAGGGGAGGCAAGCCGCTGATGGCCAGCGTGAGGCTGTGAACTTCAGATGACACTTCAGATGAGATGTTGCTTCGCTCTGACCACAGCCGGGTAGTGACAGTGAGCGTGGAGAGAGGGATGAGGTATTAGGAGGGTCTGGGCTGAGGATGCGCTCCTAAGCGGCCACGTGCAGCTGGCGCTGGGGAGGTGAGGGCTGTGCCTGCCGGGAGAGCTGACAGACCTGGCGCTGGGCAAGGACGCTGGAGTTGGCGGCAACAGCAGGGGCTGCCCCGCCGATGAGAGAGGCACAGGGCTATAGGGGAGAGCGAGCGCAGCACTGGCCCAGCTGAGCTGATGACATGGGCAAGTGACCTGTGGGGAGTGCAGATGTGGAGCCACAGAGCGGAGCCCTTTCGTGGTTGAGGCCACTGAGTGGCAAGACGAGAAGGGGCTGGAACAGCATCTGGAGGGGCCCCCGCCCCCAGGGGGACAGCAGGGAAAAAGGGACTCAACAGAAGGCCAGAGGGAGCATCACAGGCTAGCAGGAAGAAGATAGGAGCCAGGAGGGTGTGGGGCACTGCTGGACTCCGGATGTGTGGACAAGGAGCTGCCGGTGATCTCTCCCAGACAGTCTCACTGTGGCGAGGGCTGGGCCAGGGATCAAGGGGTGACAAAATGGTGCTGCCTTGGAAGGGCCCACTTTGTCCCGAAGACTGTCAGCGACTTGAGGGATGGGGCTGTGGGCAGGTGGGACACACCCTGGAGCTGCAGGGGCCATGGGAGTGCTCAGAGGCCTGAGGAAGGAGAACACACAGGGCTGGAAGATGCAAGAGGACTGCAGAGTCCCAGGCGAGGCCCTGGAGCGGGCAGGCGGAGGGTGCCCTTGCAGGGAGGGAAGGAGGGAGGAGAGAAGGTAGGGACACGAATGGAGGAAGTTTGCTCAGGCTGGGCGGCCTCAGTCTCCCCAGTAAAACAGGTGTTCTTGTCCCACTCAACATGAGAGAGGTGAGCACAGAACTGGGGCCTTGAGGGGAGTGAAGGTGACGGGCACAGATGCCATTGGAGCCAGAGAGCCTGGAAAAGTACAGATGCCCGGGCCCCACCCCAGAGTGTGGTAAGTGGGCAGGGCCTGGGCATTAGGGTTTCAGAAACTCCCCAGGTGGTCCCTGTGTGCCACAGCCAGGGTGGTAAATATAACATGAAGTCGAGGTCCTGCAAGGATTTGGCAGCTGCAGGCCATCAGTGCCGTGGGCGTGGGAGCTGTTAGAAGGCGTCCTCATGCTCTTTAGCAGGGGTTGGAGTTCAGACAGCGGACTTATCACACACTCGCCACAAGCCGGGCCCCCTGCTACCCACTTTATGTGGATTCTCTAGTCTGATCCCCACAGCAGCCCTGGGAAATGGGCTCCGGTTTCACACCCACTTGGCAGATGAGGAAACTGAGGCATGGAGAGCGAGTCTCCCCGGGAGCTGGGCCAAGCCCAGGCAGCGTCTTCTGACTGCTGTAGGGGAGAGGATGGGCCCACCCGCAGGGCCAGCCAGGGAGCCACGAAGGTGAGCAGGGAGGGAGCAGGGGCGCGCTGAGGCCGGGAGGAGCGGGAGTGCTGAGCGGCTGCAGTAAGTAGGAAGCGGGAATTTGTTCCTAGCGCCCAGTCCCCAGGGCTCGGGGAGCCGTTACCACAGGCAGTGAAGGCCCAGGGTGAGCGAGGCCTCTGGAAGCCGAGCAGCCAGGCTGGACCACGCAGGCAGGAGCGAGCCGACTGGACCGTGACCCAGGAAGCTGGGGCAGATGCGGCCCAGGTACCCCTCCCCGCAGGAGGATGGCTGGTCTCTGAGGCTGAGGAGATGGAGCCCACCAGTTGAATATCCCCAAACTTTGCGTGGTTCCTCAGTGGACAGGTATTCATTAAAGTAGGGGCTGCAGGGGCAGCCAGCGAGAAGCCAGAGTGCATCCTGGGAGGTGAGATGGTCTACGCCGGGGGCATATATCCTGACCCGGCTAAGCTCCCCTCCTCTGGGCTCCCACAGCTTCCATCTCAGCTGATGCCAGCTTTCCATCTCTGTCTCTGGCCTGTCCCCTGACCAGCGTGGTGCGGAGCACTCAGCAGCAACGTGAAGTAATTAGCACAGAACCTGTGTACACCAGGGCAAGGCTGTGTGGTGGAAACCAGGTGTGCAGTTAGATCCCAGATGCTGCCATGTACTTGGTTTGGCTTTGGGCATTCCGGCGCTGTGTCTGTTTTCTTTAGCCATGACCTTGAGGCTCTTCTCTTTGTCTTTAATAATCCCAGTGTTTGAAAATTCCAGAGTACCTTTCGGGAGTGGTTGATGTTTCCCTCAGTTTTGTCTGGGGCTTCTTGGTAAGGTGACCTGATGGATCTTCAGGCCCAAGGGGTCCTGGAAGGACCTGGAGATTGCCAGAGTGGAGGAGGAGCTGTTAGGATGTGGCAGCAGGGGCCTCCCTGGGTCCTGCAGAGGTGTGTTCTCCTGGCAGGGGCCAAGGGACCCCTGGCGGGGGCTACGCTTTCCTGATCCCTCCTCAGGTTTCCAGGCCTGCTCAGTGGCCCAGACCCACTGCCCCAGTTTCTTCCACCCTGGGGAAGGTTTGAAGACCAGCTGGATCCCCCCTCCGACTCCCTGCTAACTCCCTCGCCTGGGAGGGGTGCAGGAGGCATGGGTAGTTACAAGGAGTCCTGTAGGTGGTTCGGTGGCCATTCCCAGCCCCTCAGAAGAACTGAAGGGAGGTGAAGGAAATGTCCTTTGAAGGTGGCTGTAAAAGAAATTAAGTGCTCACCACACCAGCAGCCATGTCCTATCCCCAAACACCTCCATCCCTTCTTCAACTGGGACCTCATCGTTTTACGGCAGCTCACTTGGGTGGGCTCCCTCTGCCGGGGGTGTTCCTGGGTGCGGCACCCACTCCCACGGACTCCTTTTCTCTTCCAGGCCTGCCTCGGTCTCGCAGTCAGACGTGCCTGCCAGAGCTGCTGCGGTTCCTGGGTCAGAATGTGCACGCCCGGAAGAATAAGAACGTGGACATTCTCTGGCAAGCCGCTGAGGTACTGGTTATAGAGAAGAAAAGGAGGCTATCGCGGTTCCCGTTACCGAATGTCATGACAGAAACGTTACAAAGCAGAATCTCCGAGGAGAGCAGAGCTCTCCACACGGGGAGAAGAGGGAGTCACTGAGAACGTTCAGTTCACGGGTCCGTTCCTTTGGGGCTGCCTGAATTCTGATAAACCTGACACAGCCCATCTCTTGGGCATTTACTAGCCAGGCTGATGACAATTGTCACCCTCAGAAGCCTGGCGATCGATACCAGCTGAAACCACTGTCTTACTGCATCATTTAATAGGGTCAGAAGGAGGCCATGTGACCTTTCAGGTCTCTTTAAACCATCTTTATCGTCCATTGTGCTTCTGAGCTCCTCATTTTCCCAAGCACTTACCCTGCTCGTAGTTTTTTCTAAGTTTGTTTGTGGAATTCCAAGCCACTGCTCTGAGCCTGGGTGTCAGAGCAATTTCGTAGCTGGTCATTCATTCACCCTCGATGAGGGGTGAGGTTAATTCTTCTCCACAGCAGCATAACCTGCCCAGCGCTGGGACCCGGGCACACGTGGCCTCCAGTGGCATTGCCGCTCCCTGCCTGGGCCTGAGGAAAGGGAGGGTGAGCCCAGGAGGGAGGTGGCACTGCACTGCCCACCACACCTCAGCCACCACACCTTGTCACAGAGCTCGAGCAGCAGGGGGTCCCGCCCTCCACGGCTTCCCCGAGCAGCTCACTCTGAAGTGTGCCGCTCCGTCTTGTCAGGAAGGTGCTTCTCTCAGCCCCGGGTCTCTTCCACAGCAGCAGACGGTCTCAGCTGCTCCCGGTGCGTGGCCGCCGCTTCAGGTTGGTTATTAGTCCTGTGTTCAAACCGGGCTTCATGAAGCCGCACTTTGTGAACGTGCTGTACATTCTGGGTTTGTTAACAGTCGTGGCTGCTGATACCATTCCGTTGAATTCAGCTTTAAAGAGTGAACATTCCCCTCCATCTGCTGAGTGCCTCAACTGGTCAGACTTTATCCTTGTGGGAAGCAGGGGGTGGGTCAGTCTGCAGATCTCCCCTCTCTGGGCCAGGCTGCCCTCTAAATCTTTTCCTTCTAACAGAACACATTTGAAAGCACAAAGTGACGGGAAGTTCGGCAGGTTTCTCAGGCCTCATTTTTCAGGTATCCTCTTGGTTTTGGGGCCTCATCTGGCATTGCTTGCTCAGGACAGGCCCAGCAAGTGAGGTGTAGGGCAGGGAACACACTGGCTGCGGGGGTCTCTGCAGCAGGGCAGAGGGGGCTCCCTACTGTGTTTTTTCTGGGGGGTTGCTAAACCCCCCTGGCCAGGCTGTGACAGCCTCTTACCTAAGCACCTTAAGAGATTTTGTGTGAAGAGCAAGCCTTTCCCACAGGACACGAAGAATACAGAGGGTGGCCGGGCTCGGTGGCTCACGCCTGTAATCCCAGCACTTTGGGAGGCCGAGGCCGATGAGTTACCTGAGGTCAGGGGTTCGAGACCAGCCCGGCCAACATAGTGAAACCCCATCTGTACTAAAAATACAAAAATTAGCCAGGCGTGGTGACGCATGCCTGTAATCCCAGCTACTCGGGAGGCTGAGGCAGGAGAATTGCTTGAACCTGGCAGGCGGAGGTTGTAGTGAGCCGAGATCACGCTACTGCACTCCAGCCTGGGTGACAGAGTGAGATTACATCTCAAAAAAAAAAAAAAAAACAAGAATGCAGAGGGTGACACAGCTAGGTGTCTGAACAGTGGTGGGGGACTGGGGGACGTGCACTCACTGATTCGTTCTCCTTAGAATACACACACAGGCAGCTTTACAGACAAGCGGTGCAGAGACCTTGTGCATGCCTTGTTTGGGAACTGTGGTCCTACCTGTCTATTGCCATGTAATAGAAAAATCCTTAAGTATAGGGACAACTGACCATCCCCTGTCACCAGAACAGAAAAGCAGTGCATCAAGTCCTGTATTTCTTGTTCCTGTAGAGGCCTCAGGGTGTACAAGCATGAGTGTAGAGGTGGCAGGCTCTCAGAGACCCCCAGTTGCATGTGTTCTCACGTTGCCCACCGAACCCCAGGCATCCCCTGGGGATAAGGGGTTGTGGGGCAGCAGTGCCAGCCACTCAGGTACTGAGTCCTCCCATCCTCAGTCTGACCAGAGCTGCTCTCTTTTTCAGGCTCTTATTTCTTTTCGTTTGTGTGTATGAACAAAGCGTCCCTGGCTAAATAGCTGGAATCTCTTTAGTCAGGTCTCAGCCCGTATCTCATGGATGGGGAGACCCAGCAGGGCACCAGAAGTGGCTGATGGCCATCTGGGATGGGAGCCTGGCACTGCAGTGCCCTCTCGGGCAAGGATGCATCACGGCCACCCCTGCCTGCCTTCCAGAACCTTACGTTAGCTCTGGATACAGCATCCATGAATTTAAAGCTTTTTGAAACCTGTAGTGCCAGCTTCCATCATATGTTTGGGTCCTGAACTCTACAGCCCATAGGATTTAGTGCACACACCAGGCTCACTCTTGCTTTGTCAGTTACAACTTCACAAATGTGATTAATTTACTCTTCATTAGCTTAAGGTCTGCTTATCTGCTTAGAGCCTGTTAGTTTTTCTTTTTTCTTTCCTTCTTTTTGTCGGTCTGTTCTCAGAAGAAGCCTGTCCTCCTTCTGATTGTCTTGCCTGAACACTGAGTCTATTCTGTTTTGCCTTTCCCTAGACAAGGCTCTTAGCACTGTGCCACGTGTGCCATGTTCGTGTCTAGCGATGATCCTGGCAGTGACTGGCATGCTCTCTGGCTTTGCTGGCCTGCCAGGCAGGTGTTGTGCCATCTTCAGGAGTTGACGAGACACTGATATTTTTCTGGCGTACAACAGATACCTGGAGCCCGCCATCACATCACTTGGATGATGTTTCATTAGATACCAGCCTTGGCGTCATAGTGCAGTGTCTGATAGGGTGCATGGCCCTTTACCTGAAGCCCCTGTGGCCAGATGTTTTGGAACGCACAGGTTTTCAGATTGTGGAAAGTCCTGTGGTGCACAGTTGGTGTTTGTTTATGTAAGTAACATGGTGCACATCGCATGTGTGTACCATGGTATACATACAGGATTTAACATCCCCGAGGGAGCCTGAGACAGCACTCTGCAATCATATTATTGCCACACTGAAAAGTATGAATATTTACATAACATTAGATAAGTAAAGATTGTAAGTGGTCTTGTATCAGCTCAGGTCTGGTTGTGCTGCCAAATGAGATTGCCACAGATGTACAAGAAAAAAATCACCTTGTTTCAGAGCTTGCTGGATTTGGTGACTGTGTGCCTAGGATTGTATCTAGTGGTGCAGGGAAAATGCCCTGAAATCTCCCCGTGGGGAGAGGAGGTGCACTCAAGTGGCCTTTTCCCAGTCCGGAGGCTGCCCTGCCCCCTACTCTGTGAGCCATTCTGTTGTGAGGAGGGAAGTGTGCTGGCATTAACTCCGCGACCGGGAAAGGATGGCGGGAGGAGGCCTGTGGGGCTGGTGGTCAGGAGGTGGCCAAAGGGCAGTGCAACTTCTCAGCTGCTCCCATCTGTGCAGGTGAGAGAGGAGAGTCGAGAGAGTAGGTCTGTTCCCTACCTTCCAGGGAGATCTGGAGACCTGGCCCGGGACTATGGGCATCCTGAGAGTGGCTCTGGCTTCCCCAGTGGGTCATCTTTGCCGCTGTCTTTCCCTGAGGGATCAGCAGTGAAGGGCTGAACGTGACAGGAGGGCCCAGGCATGGTTTGGAAGGGGACAGCACACTGCAAAAGAGTGTCCTGTGGGAGAAGACAGGCCACATGAGGGATGGCAGGGATGACGGCAGGCCCACAGGCAGCATGCTCCCCAAAGGGCTGGTGTCTGTAAGTGACTTGGTTTCTGTTACCAGCTCTGGCAGGGCGTGGAGTTGGGGAACAGAATGGGAGCATCTGGCCAGGCCTGGGTGCTGAGTTTCTGTCCCTGCCCTTGCTGGGCTGCTTGGGAGCCTCTCTTGGGTGTGAAAGGTGCTGCCTTTCTGCGGAGCCTCGCCTCCTAAGCACGGCCCATGTTTCTGTTGGCAGATCTGCCGTCGCCTCAATGGGGTCCGGTTCACCAGCTGCAAGAGCGCGAAGGACCGTACAGCCATGTCGGTGACGCTGGAGCAGTGCCTGATCCTGCAGCACGAGCATGGCATGGCCCCGCAGGTCTTCACCCAGGCCCTGGAGTGCATGCGCAGGTGAGTGCTGCAGCCAGGCCGTGCGCCCCGCCTGCCCCGGCCCGTGTAAACTGCAGATGAGCTGGTGCCCTGCTCCTGCCCGTGGGGCCTACCCTGCATGAGCCCCTTGACTCCAGCCGTCACACTTGAGTTTGACAAACCAGTCAAACTATTGGCACAATCAAATTCAGACAGGGTGCTCTTGTAAGGAAAGGTGAGGGGAAAGAGCTAGCAGGACTTTCTGAGCAGGACTGCCCGGAAAACCGGTAGACTGGTGGGCCAGCCAGGGGTCAGGCAGCTAAACGGGAAGCTGGGATGCAGCCGTGACGTGCAGTGCCCTGCTGGCCACCTGCCTGGCCGTGGGTGTGACTTCAGGCCAGTGCTTTCTCAGCAGGCATCTGCTGTTGTCGTCGTGTACATATTGATATCCGCACATTTCCAAACTCGAGCGAAGCAACGCGTCTGCAGGTTGCACCGGTCTGCTCCGCTGCTTCTCTAGCAGTCGACACAGTTGGCTCTCACGAGCCAAGTGTCACATGAGTGTTTTATCATGAGAGCTGTCCGTGTGCCCTGGCGACCTCACCCTAATGATGTTCTGATTCTGAGGCAGCAGGCGTGTTTGCAGAATGAAACCCGGAACTAAAAGTGTCTCCTGTTGATCGATGCCTTGTTTCAAGCACTGCTGGGCAGCCCCCTACCTCACATACCAAAAGAAAGGATAAGAAACCTGGTTTCCCGTCTCCTTCGATGTAGTCACCAATGCTGTTAAAGTCTCGTTTCCAACGGTCACTTCTACTAAATGTTCTGTATCATTTGTCCTCTCACCAAATTATTTAAAGTGTTCAATTCTCTTATCCTTTCTGTATGTTTCTGCCATTTGACCTTCTCACAACAATGCACAAAAGCAACGCGCGAGTCCCTGCCTCTTGATAAGCGCATTTTGTAGAAATGGAATCGTTTTGTCCTGTGTTGTCTTTCCAAGTTCATCCCAACCTCTCTGTGAAAGCTCGCCATCCCTCTGCCCAGGCTCAGGGAAGCAGTGGAGACTCAAAGACCCCTGCTCCGGGGCGCCTTTTTAAAATTTTAATTCCCTGGTCTGCTCCCCAGGAGCCTCGGTGCCCTTCAGGCCTGATGTCCAGTGTGACCCTGGTGCTGAGGGACGGCGGCTGCGCCTGTGCCCATTAGCTGCACGGGGGTGGGAGGGGACGCTCTGGTGAGCTGCAGACCTCCGCCAGTAAAGAAAGGAGAACGAAGCGGACAGGGATCCCTGCGGTGGTGGCAGCAAGGAGCAGGATCAGGGCGAGTCAGGAGCCGGCGCCCCAAGTTAGGCACACAGTCCACGCGGAGACCTCTACTCAGTTCTTGGGCTCTCAAACAAGTTCAACAAAAACCATTCATTCTGACCACCTCTGAACAGAGACCCCAGGAGACCAGTGACAAAGTGGCCCCAGGGAGAGCCACAGTGCGATGGCTGGCCTGCCACTGAGCCCAGACCCGCAAGGGCCCTGTCCGCCTGCCCCAGCCCACTTGGGTTGTGTGCTCAGGACAGCTGCTACAGTTACAACTGTTAGGATGCACAGTGCACAAAGCACTTTTTATAACTTTTAATCACATAAGAATGAAAATCCTTGTAGGAAAATTAGAAAATACAGATAAACACCCACACTAGTTCTTCAGAACCCTCCCCACAAAGAATCCCCCGGTTTCGTACTGTGAACAGGTAGCGCTGCTGACATTTGGATAGATTCTGAGATAAGAGACGTGTGTGCCTGCATCTGGGTGTGAGGACGTACACGGGGGCTAACCAGTCCCTGCATTACACCAAGCAGAAACACCCACATGCACAAACAAGTGTAATTATATTTGCAGTTAACAGTCTTGTGAGCATTTTTTAGGTTAATAAATGTAGACCTTCTCTCTCTCTTTTTTTTTTTTTTTTGAGGTGGAATCTTGCTTTGTCACCCAGGCTGGAGTGCAGCGATGCAATCTTGGCTCACTGCATCCTCTGCCTCCAGATTTTAAGCAATTCTCCTGCCTCAGCCTCCTGAGTAGCTGGGATTACAGGCACCAGCCACCACACCTGGCTAATTTTTTGTATTTTTAGTAGAGATGGGGTTTCGCCATGTTGGCCAGGCTGTTCTCAAATTCCTGACCTCAGGTGATCCATCCACCTTGGCCTCCCATAGTGCTGGGATTACAGTTGTGAGCCAGCACACCCAGCCACTTTCCACACACTATAATTTATCCAATTTGCTGTCGTTTAATATTTAAAAGCTGTATATGGTTTTCCAGCATTTTAATCAAAGGCACAGTGAATATCATTATACATTCTCCTAGCCACATTGCCTTAGGTTAAAAAGTATACATGTTTGTAAGGCTTTTGCATAATTTTAGTACAGATCATCAAATGGTCCCCACAGTAGCCGCTCTCGTGCCCGGTGTCCCAGAGTGCACAGGACACTACCCGTGCCGGGCGCTATCTGTCCTGTCACTCTCGTGAGGCTTCTGAAGCTGTAAGGGCTGTTGTTTCTCCGCGTTAGCGGTAAGGGCCCTGGGGCCTGGCAAAGGGAAGGAAGGCCCTTCCTCCTGGGGAACAGGCAGCATTCCCTCTACCTCGCCCTCTTCCTCTCTCAACACCCCCCTGCCTCCAATCATGGATGTCTTCTTAACTTGCTTATTTATTGGTTTTCTGAAATCTCTACAGTGAACATGTATTACTCTTAATAGTTTTTTAAGAAGTTATAAAAACAAAACAAAGCCGCATCTTACTTTACCTGTGCCTGCCCCGGAATTCTCACACCAGCCCTGGGGACACGGCTCGCTGCCACCTTGAGCCGACCCTTGCAGGTCTGAGGCTCTTGTCACAAGCATTGGTTTTAAGGGGACTTCTGTCTTTGGTACAATCCCATGAGGGGAAGACATGTACCTGTTCAGACGGCTGCAAGCCGAGGTGGCTGGGTCACAAGCTAGCAGCTCTGGCCGCTGGGGTGCCGAGGACCTGCAGTTTAGCGGAGAGCCCCAGAAGGCAGCGTAAACTTCCACCCTGCCCGTGGGTGGACGGGGACGTTTTGGTTCATGGCTTTCTGGCTTGCATCTTATCAGACGGAAGAGTAGAGCATGCAGGTGGGGTGGAGGCGGTGGGGGCCAAGGTGGCACCCAGGCTTTTCTCCTGGAGGCCCAGGGTGACTGGTGGCCAGGGCTGTGCTGTCAATGTTCAGCCACCAGCCCTCTCCCCAAGAGCCCTGATCTGTCATGTTGGCCATTTCTGTGGCATAAATGCTTCTGCCAGGGCCCGTTTCAGGCTCCCAATGTGGCACCACTGAACATGGAGTTGGGAAGAGAGTCACACATTTGGCCACTGGGGCGCCCCTGCCCCCAGTCCTGGGGCTGACGCCCTCGAAGTAGGCCTTCCTGAGGGTAGCCACAGGGCCCCCCACCAGCCTGTCCTGGCAGGGAGTGTGGCAGCGGGCCAGTGTTCCGCGGCTTGGGAATCGCGCCCTCGCAGAACGGCACATTCCAGCAGGGCCACGGGGCCTTTGGGCTCCTCTGGGAGAGCTGGGGAGGGCCCTGTGTGAAGAGGAACCCTGGGCCTCCTGCCGCCCCATCTCCCAGTGGAGCCTTCACAAGCTGCCTGCTGTGTCCTCAGGCCTCTGATTCTATGTCACTGCTGCCACTTGGCAGACATAAATGTGCTCCCAGAGTCGTGTGGTGCTAGGTACCATCTCACCTCAGTGCAGTTCTTCTGTAGCACCAAAAGGGGAGAGAAGCCCCAAATTTCCAGTGTGGTATTGGCTGGATTCCACCCTTGGGGATGCTTGTAGAACCCTAACTTGCAAAGATGGAAACAGCAGTTCGCTCGTGCCTGCACGGCTGAGCCTGGAACCCGAGGCGGGGCTGGCGGGGGCTCTGCGCTTGGTTGGTTGGTACCTGAGGTAAATGGTTTTTGTTTGCGTGGTTGATCAAGAGGCAGCTTTGGCCAAATCCTTTGTACCACCCCCTGCTCAGGCATCTGTGAGAAGGTCAAACCCCCAATGGTTCTTCATGTTCAGCTTGCTTCTCAGAAGTCCCTGTGTGTGCAGCATGTGGGAGCATGGCCGGGCGGCATGGAGTTGGGCTTGGCCAGCCGAGAGAGTGAACATGGAAAACCATTCGTTCAACCTACATGTGTTTATTTTCAGTAGATTGCAGTATTTTTTCTTATTTTCACTTCTCTTTCTCTCCTTTTTTTTTTCCTGTAACTGTGCTGGTTTTGTTTTGGTCTTCCTCTCATACCCGTTTCTGCATTCCATCTTTTCTTTCTCTTGTGACTTCATTTCATTTTTGTTTAACCTTATCTTTTGGTTCTCTTCTTTATCCCATCCTTTTTGATAAAACCCATCGCATGTGTCTTCTTTCTTTCTTTATTTTCTTTCCTTTTTCGTTTTTCTTTCTCCCAAACTTTTTCCTTTTCACAGCATTGGAACACGGGAGGTAGTCACCCAGAAGAACTTGAGCGGCCTGGTGCCCATCCGAGACTTAAGGCTAGACCCCAGCCTCCTCTGTTCCATTCCTTTATTGGCTCTGAGCCCCAATTTACTGATTGTGTGGCTCTTTCTGAGCATAGCATACCTGGTGACCAAATTGCGTTGCAAATGAGTATCATTCTGAAAAATTAATAAGTCACAAGAAAAACAAAAGTGCCAGAACATGTCCAGCCACCGTGTACCTAACTGGACAGAAGGAATGTGTCAAAGCGTGGTCTGCCAAGAAATATTTCATGCCTTACATTTTGACGTTTTGTTCTTCTGAACTGTAAATATCTGCCAAATTATTTCACCAAGAAGACTTGTTTGTTTAGCTCCTGTAGCATCTTCAGTGCTTGTAACATGTTCTTACGGTACCCTGTCACTGCACTGTTTAGCTGGCCTGGAATTCCTTGTGCCACGTCTCTACCTTCTGATGTACAACTATCTGTCACCTGTACCTCTCATGTGCCCTGTTTCCAAGAGAAACTAGTTCTGTTTGAAGAGAATTTGTATATTTGATACTATTCTTTAAGTGGACTGCTAACCCTTCCTTTCCTTTCAATGACAAACAAAAAGAAAAAGACAGATGCTTTATAACCGGCCCATCTAGAAAAACCTATCTAATAGGACATGTACTTTCTGCTTTCATTTCCAAGCGTAGTCCCTGAATTACAGTCGCAAACAGTTTGCAGAGTCCTACCATTTCCTTGCTTATGTTTATTATTTCCAATTAAGGATGACACAAAGCTGTGAATACAGTAGTACACTGTAGCAAGAGCCAGGCACAGTCAGACACAGAAAGATCACCTACTGCATACGCCAGACACAGAAAGAGCACCTACTGCATACGCCAGACACAGAAAGATCAGCCACTGCATACGCCAGACACAGAAAGAGCACCTACTGCATACGCCACAGAAAGATCACCTACTGCATATGCCAGACACAGAAAGAGCACCCACTACATACGCCAGACACAGAAAGAGCACCTACTGCATACGCCAGACAGAAAGATCACCCACTACATACGCCAGACACAGAAAGAGCACCTACTGCATACGCCAGACACAGAAAGATCACCCACTGCATACACCAGACACAGAAAGAGCACCTACTGCATACGCCAGACACAGAAAGAGCACCTACTGCATATGACATTAGATTTACTCTTCACCATGTAAGGATCATTCAGCTGGTTCGAGGAATTAATGCATATAGTCACCAAAGGCTGTTAAAGTTATATACTTTTATTTATTTTAAAGCAGTATTTTTCATTTAAAAATGATATCTTTAATTGCAGATTAAAGTTCCAACATCTTTTCTCTCTTACTAATCAAATATGATTGATAATCAAATCAAATCAAAGAAAAATTGCCAAAAAAAAAGATCCCTGACTTGTGGGCAGTTGCGGTGGATGGAGCCGTGAGAGCGGCAGGCGCTCTGGTTTCTGCCGGTGCCCCTCAGTCCTCACGCGGCATTCCCTGCAACGCGATGACGTGTAACCTTAACACCCATGTGGGGCAGAGGGTAACTGTACACCTGTAAAGGTGACCAAATAGATCAGGAAGAACTCCCCACACCCTGTGCAGGACAGGCAGCGGCTTCTCTGTTTTCCAGTTCATATTATGTTGTGCCCCCACTTCCTATCTCCAGCTAGTTCCCCATACACTGTAGTTGATGAAGACAATTTTCTTTAACCAGGCCAGAAAAATGGGAATGAATTTAGAGAAGTTTGCTTTTCCAGAAACTTGACACCCACGCATGCCCAGAAATCCAGTCGACCACAAAAGTCCTCTCTCCAGGACTCCCAGACCTTACCCCGGGCTTTCTCTCATTCGGTCTCAGCTCAGAGTCTGGGTCCTAGGAGTCATGGAAGCGGTTAGCAATGAATGGCAAATGCTAGACTCGACACTTTACATTCTAAAGCGTAAGACCATCCTGAGCACTGCAGGCTCCCCAGGGCAGGTGTCCCCTGTGTGTCACCCCGTAAGTGAATCCACGCTTCTCCAAGTGCAGCGTGTTCACTTGTCTCTTCTAAAATAAATGAGGTGGCTGTTGTGGCGTAGCTCCTGGCAGCCTTCAGTAGGGAGTCTCTCACCAAACGCCAGCTCCTGGGTGGTGTAAGCTCTGGTAGCATGACAGCAGTCCCTGGGCAGCGTCCTGTCCAGCCTGTGATTATTTGAAAGGCATGTTTGCCTCTTTCCCTCTTTCACATTGAGCCGTGCACTTCACCTGAGACCATCTTGTTTGCATTATTTGAAAGCAAGAAACAGAGTCCACAGCCTCCTCCAGGTCCCATTTCACAGCTTCCTGGTCCTGCTCCTGGTAATGTGGTTCCAGTGCCTGCAGTGGTGACTCACGCGCACTCCCACCTCCACAGCAGGGCTAGTGGCAGGGCAGAGCCCATGCACAGAGGGGGCCCTCTGACTGCAGACAGCACCCCTCCCTCTCCCAGGGTTCAGGGATGCTTCTGTGGCATCCTCTAGGGGCCCCTCCCAGGCCCCTGCCCCACAGCACAGAGAAGCTGTGCCCAGGCCGAGGAGCCCCTCCCAGGGGGCCTCAAGGACACCACGGCCTGATCCTTGATTGTCACCACACCTTTTCGCCCATGTGGGCTTGGCCCTTGGGCTGAGAGAAATGAGACCAAAGGGAGCGAGATAAGGTTCTTGGTTTCTCTCCACCAGGGGCTGGGTGAACATCAGTATGCCGCCTGTGCGCTTGGAGAGCTACCAGAAGGACACCATGAGATTAGCGTAGGCAGTGGGCTGGTGTTGGCTTTTTACAACTTAAAGTATTTGAGAAAAGAAACTCCGTTGCTCTCCCTTTATGCTGAATTTTAATGTCACTAAGGCCTTTTAACTCATGAAATCAGGCCAAATACATATTCAAAATCTTACTTGCTTTAGTGAGAAATAGGATGAAACAAAGATGGGGAGATGATTCAAGAAAGGGGTCACTGACATTTAGTGATGGTTTTTAGTTGCTTATACAGTAGTAGTGCTGAGGCACTGTCAATGTCAACCAGCTCCTGGTGTCCAGGGAAACCATGATCAGGAGTGGCTCTCTTTGGTTGGTCTTATAAAATTGTTGTGTAAGTTTTTTCAACTAGGGTGACAGTCACCATTTACACCTATGGCTTGGTTCCAGCAGAGATTTTAACACGATGGCCTGTTCCCCCACAAAGTGGCAGGTGTAGCAGCCACGCCATGCTTGGCCATAGAATCACTAAGATCCTGATGACTGCAGATGAGTTCTCAAGTAGAAGACCCCACTGGAACCGGAAAACTAGAGGATTCCCTAAAATTACCTGTCATATGGGGTGTCCATTTTAATTTTCATTTCAAAAATGGATGCCCTTGGAAAGAAATAATTTGTTGATATAATAAAATAATCGTGGAGCTTTGAAATAATTAAGTCCCTCTTGCTAAAATCTATCTAAGACCACCTCAACATGTACCATTGATTCCTAAAAAGTATGCAGCCAATGTAATCAGTGGAGGTGTCCTGCCTTAGGGCAGCAGCTTGGCCTCTGCAGCAGGAAGCCCCAGTTAGCACAGGCTGCCCTCGCCACCTCTACACACCTCGCCCCGGGCCCTCTTGCCAGCTCATCCGCACAGGCAGGTGGCGGAATGACTGTCGGCTTGTAGATCAGCCACATCAGCCGGATTTTGCAAATTCAGACATCTGGGGGAAAGTAAATACAATTTGATTTGAAAACTACGTTGAAATGAAAGTATAATCTTTATTATAATTTCACGTCTGATGTGTTCAGCCAGCTAAACTAGGCACTAGCTCCTTTAGCATGTAAATAAAAGATAACGTCAAAGTTCACAAATTATTCTGCCTCGCGCCTCACGGCAGTTTAGTGTTTACTAGTGATAGGTGGTTTTTAAGCAGTTTGTACGTTTCTATATAAATGGAGAAGCCATATCTGAAGTAGTTCATTAATGTAAGAGTTTCCAAAGATTAAAGGAGATTAACTGTATATAAGAACCTATAGCTTCTGCTTTAAGTGGAAGTACGTTTTTGATTACTGAATGAATGTTAGGCAAACATGATTGTTCCTTGCTCCAGGGGGCCTGCTCCTGTGGCCTAGGTGTTCAGCTCAGATGACACACATCTAGCTGAGGCCTTGAGGCTCTGTGACAAGAAAGCATATCCAAGTTACCAAATTAGTTATAACAACCAGGTGGATACTTTTCTAAACTATCGGAGCTTAGCTTTTGAATAAAAATTACTGTCTTACCAAAAGTATTTTACATGTTCTTGATAATGAGACTGTCATTTTCACTTTAAAAGGCTTGAGCAATTGCCACTAATGTTTTTTTTTAAATGCATGACATAATGGTCTTCACACAATTTGAAGTTTTTTAAAAAAATCACTGTTTCTTGGTAACTGCAAATTTTACATCTCATAAGGGGAATTTTGTACTAAATTTGATAACTAGTTGATTTCACTGCTAGTCTTAGAACAGTATAAAGCTATGAAGTTATACTGTGCTGTGGGAAGTCATTTATGTTTAAAATCGCTTTTGCCAGTTAGTTTTATGTCTACACCTGAACATTTCCCAGAGAACTCCCCGGATGCGCTCACTGAGCAGGTGAGGCCACCTCACGCAATGTTTGTTTTTGTCCCCTGGATTGCCATGGCAACCCTCCATCAAATGCAGCTGGGGATGATGCTGGTAGTGAGTTCTCTAGGGAAGGGTACCTGTGGGCTCTCACTGGCTCAGTGGCACCTGTGCAAGAGGGAATACGTGGGGGCAGCCCACCTGTGGAAGGGTGACTGGCTGCTACCAGAACTCGGTGAGATCCCTCCCTCATAACATTCCAGCCCTGATTGCCAGGCTGCTCTGCAGACAGTGCATGAACCCACTGGATTACCTGGCACCCAGAACAACTGTCCTCCGGGAGACAGCAGACCAGAACAGCCTCCCTAGCCAGCTGGCTTTGCTACCTGTTGAATTCTGCAAGGAAAGTCCGCATTTTGAATTCGATGTGACTGCAGCTCTTGCTAATATAGAAAAGTGCAGCTCTTTAAAGCTCTGAAGTGCAACTTTAGTAAGAGTAGTAGTATTTCTCTTTCCACTTCGTTTGCTGTGTAAGAGAATCTTGGAACCACAAGTTATGGTAGAACCCCAGATGACTCAGACATGAGCTACATGAAGCCATTCACTTGGAAAACGTTTGCTTCCACTTAGCTACAGTGCTGCTTTTAGGAACGCACAACTCACAGCCCCATGCAGCATGTGTCCGTCTCTGTGCTTCTTAGTTGCCTTGTTCAGAAACCTGCCATCTTACGTATGTATTTGTTGTAAATGAGTCCGGCACCCATTTAAATTAATCTTTTTTTTAATGTTATGAAAATAATCAGTTCATTTCATCTTAGTTTAAGTCTTTTCTTTTTTCCTTTTTTACTGCTGTCATTTCTTGTGCTTGTTTTTTTCCCCAGTGAGGGTTGTCGAAGAGAAAATACAATGAAGAATGTTGGAAGTCGCAAATATGCATTTAATTCCCTGCAGCTGAAGGCTTTCCCCAAGCATTACAGGCCTCCCGAAGGGACTTACGGAAAAGTTGAAACGTGAACACACGGTTTCCTCTAATTAGCTGTTACATAATAAATGTGGGTACCCTCTAGTGTCATATATGAATTCTTCAAGAAGACCCGAAGGATTGGTTTTTATTTTTTGTGTTTTTTTTTTTTTTTTTTAAAAAGAAACATTTCACTAAAGAGTTTCTGGAGCATGTTTTTTGTTTTTTGGGGTTTTTTTTTCCCATTGGAATCAATAGGAGGTAATGTTTGGCTCAATAGTGTGGACAGTAACAACTGCCCATTTCAATAGCCTTTGGCTGTAACTACACAGATCTCATCAATAGTTACCTACATGAATCAAGCTAGGTTTGTCCGAAATGCTAGAAGACTTTTTCAGACGCCTACTTGCTCACTTATTTTTCTACAGAGTAACTCAAAAGTGACCATTGAATTACAATCCACTTTGTAAAAATCTGAATGTAAAACAGTAAATAATAAATTAAATAATTGGATCGTAGGCAGACCAATAAATGTGATTTGGGGAAAGAAGCTAGCACCATCTCATGTAGTGAGAATAACGGGTTCTAGTGAATTATCCTATCTACACCACCACCTGAAGAAGTTGAAAGAAAGATTGATAAATCAACGGGAGATAAGACTTGGTTAGAAGGTAACATCTGCAAGGCACCCCACACAGTTGGGGCCACTCTTTTTTCTGTCCCTCATGAGTTACAGAACAGGGAGTCTGCTGGAGACACAAAGCCAGCAGTAAGGTCCCTTTAGCCTGTCTCCTGTTCTCTGAAGCTCCCTGCCTAGGCTTCCCCATGCCCAGAGGACACATCTCCCCTTCTTCTCTAGATGTTAATCTAGGGCTTCAGATGTGGCATGTCAACACTCCCATGGGGAATTTATGACCATAGAGATAGTAGAAACCTAAATATTTTCGGAAAAATTTTTTTTTGCAGGATTTCCAATTCATCTTCGAAAAGACAGTACAATCGTGTTTGAACGTCTGATAAAAGTGTCTTATTTTTAGGTTTGCAATAATTGTTACTTTTTTATTCTCATTCTTATGTAAGATGACAATTGAGAAACAGTTGAAATTATTCTCCTCAAATGAGATTTTGAAAGGGATTTATGGGCCATAAAACTTAGGAATTTCATAGAAAATTGTGTCTGGTCATCTTTTATAAGATGATGATGAGTCTTATCTGCACATAGCAGACTTTTTTTCTTAGGAGTTTATATGTTTTATTGATTCTGTTTATGATGTTTACATGTTCTTGAAAAGGTTGTCAAAGAAATATATATGGCACATATTAATGATGCTGATCCTAATGATTTGTGAACCTCCTAGAAATTCTTATGTCTAAAAACCTAGAGATTCTTCTGGTTCCTTTAGAAACATGTAACAGACTTGGGCCAGGGGTGCTGAGGCACGGGGAGGACTGCTTCTTGGCAGGAACACAGAGGGGGAGGGCATCAGGTAGGGGTGGAACTGGATGACCTTCCAGACCCGCTCCTACTCAGAAGTCAGCACGCAGGCAGAGCCTGCTGTCTCCCGATGCTTGCAGGGAGGAAAATGTCTGTGGAGGACACTTTAATGAAGGATGAAGCTCTCTGCCGCTCCCTCGAAGCTGGGTTCACTGTGGCAGGCAGGAGGCCGAGAAACTCCTCCCGCCAAACCCACTGCTCAGGTGGCTGCTGCTGGTGTCAGTCTCCTTTTTAAGTGTCAGTTTCTGTTCACAGACAGTTCGTTTCAATATGGCTGATTTACCCTTTCACCTCCCCACCATCTCATTTAATTGGTAAATTTTTAGTTCCATCTTTTCTCATTTGAACTTTAAAAAAAAAATCTCCTTGCTTTTAAAAAATACAAGTATTACTCACATAGTTTTCAGATCTTTTTTGTCTGAAGAGCATTAAATATCTGCACTTATCAAAGGGAATATAGCAGATGTTGATCATCTGTCAGCAGTTTTGCATGTGGCACCTTTATACGAATTATTTTCCCAATTTTCGCTTTCTGTAATGGGTCACCATAAAACCGTAAGACTTGGCAAATGCTGTAGAAAAGGTTCGGGTTTCAGGATCTCTCTGAAGGCATCGTTCCTGGGCGTCCGGCACCTGCACGGGTGTGTGTTGCACAGCCCTGGAGGCCAGCAGCTCCTCTCTTCTCTAGGAGTTTCGAGTTTTCAGAGGTGCAGGGAAGGCAGTTTTACAGGTTACCATAAAATAGAGGTTCCGTCTATTCCATCCAGTGTTCCTTACAATGCCTCCCCATTTAAAAAGAAAAGAGATCTGTGGAAAACCGGGAATGTCACGTGGATTCTGTCAGAGCTTCTACAGAGCACAGTTGCCTTTAGTTTCCTTTAAAGATGTAAAAATATTGTATAATACAGTTTTGTCCCTACGCAATTGTATTTGCCAAGCTTAGTGCATTATGATACCTTTATTTATTTGTTTTGGGCAGTATTAATATATATATATATATAAACATACAGTTACTGTTTTATATATTCTTAGGTCATTCAAAGCCATGTATGCTGTAAATGTGCTAGTCTTTAGAATGACACATAATAAATAACTGACAAGATATTAAATGTGGTCTTGCCTGATTGATCCTATTGGGAGGACTAGTTCTACGTGACCAGCCTGTGACGGGACCGTTGTTGTTGGGCATTGCGTTGAGAGCTCGGGTGCTGAGTACGTATGTTTGTAAACATGGGACCGTGGGAGACTTCCATTTTATAAGCTTGTTTCTGCCTAATCTGAAGCAGAGGGGCAACAGGGTCGAGGACTTTGGGAGCGGCCAGACCAGGTCCCAGTCCAGGTTCTGCCCCTCACTGGCTGGTGACTCTGAGCAAGCTGCTTGACCTCTCCAAGCCTCCGTGTCCTCGTGTGCAAAGTGTGGACAACAACGGTACCGTCCTCATGAGGAACGTGCAGCGCGCCGCGGAAGCAGGTGCTCGTAAATGGCAGCCATTGTTGTTACCTTTCCGTCCGTGAACATGGACCACATCACCTCCGTGGGTAACCCAGTCCTTGTTGTGTGACTTGTTAAAATGCAGTTCCACTTGTATTGATAGTGACCCTGTTCATCGCCACCAGGACTGCATCTTGCACCACCGTGCCATCTTCTAGGCACACACGACCCGTTATCTCCCTTGGAAAAATTCCTCTCACTGGAAATGTACAATTAAAGAATGATTGAAATGTTTAACTCTTGGAGTTTTTAGTATTACCAGACTCCTAGAAATTTAAGCTACCACCAAAAATAACATGTGCCTTTTCCCTTTATTCTC